GCGATGTCAGCTCACTGCAAGCTCCGCCTCCCGGGTTCACGCCATTCTTCTGCCTCAGCCTCCTGAGTAGCTGGGACTACAGGCACCCGCCACCACGCCTGGCTAATTTTTTGTATTTTTAGTAGAGACGGGGTTTCACCATGTTAGCCAGGATAGTCTCCATCTCCTAACCTTGTGATCTGCCTGCCTTGGCCTCCCAAAGTGCTAGGATTACAGGCCTGAGCCACCGCACCCAGCCTCTTTTTTTTTTTTTTTTTTTTTTTTTTTTAATTTAGTCTGGTGTGGTGGTGAGTGCCTGTAGTCCCAGCTACTCAGGAGGCTGAAGGGGGAGGATCACTTGAGCACAGGAGGTTGAGGCTGCAGGCAGTGAACAGTGATCATGCCACTGGACTCCAGCCTGGGCAACAAAGCGAAACCCTGTTTCAAAAACAATACAAGCTGCAGCCAAGCGGACAGGAGGCATGGCCGCGATTCATCAGAGACCTTTATCCTCTCAGGGCCTCAAAGCTTGCAGAAGTGGAATTAGGACTCCAAAGTCTTGGGTCTCCTTTCCCTTTGAAGACTCCCCTCCCTAACCCCACTCACGAGAGAAAGGGAATCATCCTTTTCCTGAGTAAAAAATGAGGTCTCAGACAGTGGAGAGCACTTAGTGTGACAGCCCAAGATTTAGGCAGATGACCTGGCCTCTGAACTGAGCCCCTAAGACCACCAAACAAACAGCTTGACATTGACATTCTGCTGTTATACAAGAAGGAGCTAGAGATAATTCAGAGTTTACGTGCCACAGGCTTCCAAAATCTCAGGCCAGAGAACCTGGAAGGTGGGATAGATGGGGGGTGACTTTCTACCCCACTCTACCCTGTAGCCTCCTTATGGAGTCACTTTGGGGCCACCAGCAAAGCACTGAATTAGGGCCTCTTGGGTGTCCAAAGAGCCTCCTCCCCTGGCAGTTGTATGGCTTAGAGATCATTCTGTCCCCTCACCCAATGTGAGGCAGAACCACCATCAACACATGGTAGATATGGTTGACAGAGTGACAGACCCACCCTCCTGTCACATTGCTGCCCTTCCCCCATGCTCTGCATAATTGATAACCGAGAGACAGCTCCCATCCCCCAGGGTGACTGAACGTCTGGGCCAGGGGCTCCTAGTCATCCTAGACGCCCCTCCAAAGCTCTGGCGCCAAGGCCCTGCCAGGGGGCAGTGGGACACAGCTGGCAGGTCAGAAATAAAGGAAACAGAAATGGGTGTGTGTGTGTGTTGGGAGAGAGGAATCTCCAGTTTACTATAGCTCCCAGGGGCAGCAGCTTTCCCTCCACTCCAGGTCAATCTGGAAGAGCTGTCATTAGCCTGATATCTTTCCCTTGGTCCCATCTCCTACTTCTTCAGCTATCCCCACTACCCTAAAAGACAAACAGGTGAAATGGCTTCTCTCCTCTCCCCAGCTGCTGGCCCTGGATACCAGAAGGGCCTCTGGGGAAGCCTGGTAAACTGGAGGGAGGCTCTGCTGGCTGCAAGTGTCTCTGAGCATATCACCCTTTCTATGCCTAAACCACCTAGTCGTCAAACAACCAGATGACGGCTGAAAAATTCCTTTAAAAAGTCAGGTGTGCCTACTCAAAGCTCGGCTTCTAGATAGAAAAGGAGATGGATGCTGTCCGTGTTTCTCACTCCCCTTTCATCTCCATTTTCTCAGGGTCCTCTGCTTTTCCAAACATCTTTTCAAGCCATCATTCTCGGGCTTGACACCGCTTCACGCTGCTCCGGTGTCTGTATATGTCTTGGCTCCTTCCTCCTCCTCTAGCCGTGCCTCGCCTTTTCTGTGCCGTCTCCCTTTCTCTCATTTCCTGCTTTCCTTCCCCGTGGTACTGCACCCCCAATGCCAACCCCACAAGTCCCCTCCTGCCAATACCCGACGCCTCAGCCGAAGAGCTCTCTGCATGCGGGGGCAGGGGAAGGAAGGGAACACAGATGGGGCAGACCGCTGGGTGGGGGTCCGCACCTACGATCCTCGCAGTCATCCAGGCAACCAGCCACCTGGGCCGGCCCAGGTCAGGGGCGGGGCCCAGGCACAGCCCCGCCCCCACGTCGCGCTCACGTGATCCGGGGCTAATCTTGTCTTGGTGACTTCACGCGCCGCCTCGGGCCCAGTCGTCATGGTTACGCCGCAGCGCCCAGCGCTTCCCCCAGCCGGCCGTGTCCCCTCCCCTTCCCCACCCGGATCACCCCCTTCCGCCGCGGCGGCCCCCGCCTCAACCACGCGCCACGTGACGGCCGGGAAGGAAGTCGGGAAGCGGGAGAGGGCGCTGTGGCCGTAACCCCTTCCTCTCCACTTTGAGCTGCCCAGACTTGGGCTTCGGCCTTCCATTGCCGGTGACCAAGCTGTCCAGGGGACGGCCCCAGCTCCTCCCCGAGCGCTCCAATCCCGCCATCCCTCCCTCCTGGCCTGCCAGGCGAGAGCGTCCGAGTCCTGGGCCTTGTTTCTGGGTGGTCCAGAAGCGAATCCCCTGCTTGCGGCGGAGTGGGAGGTCGTGGGGGCGCGGGGGGGCAGGGTGGCAGGCAAAATCCCTTGGGTCCTCCAGACGAAATTCTCCCATATGTTGGCATTTTACTTGGTCTGTGTTTGTCTGTGATTTGCATTGCAATCTACACCTTATCTCTTGAAGCCACAAATACCGCGTGGGATATGTTGGGGATTTGGAAGCTGAACTTTACTGTGATTTGTGCTTTCTGGGCCTCAGTTCTATCAAGAATATAATGGCACCAGTAGTACTTCCTTCATCTGGCTCTTCTGAGGATTCAGGGAGCTAATTTGTGTGTGTGTGTGTGTGTGTGTGTGTGTGTGCGCGCATAGAGTGTGCGGTGCTTAAGGCGATCCTCCCGGGGCGGTAGAGCAGTGGTACCACCTTACCAAGCACCTTCTGCGCGCCAGGTGCTGTTGCAAGCCATGTGATGCGAGCCTTGTGATGCGAAGTCGTCTCTCTAAAGGCTGTCCAGGCTCTCAAAGGAGCCAGAGGCCCGACCACATTGTACCTCCAGTATAATGGGAACCATGATAGAGGAAGCATACCGGGGCTGTGCCCGCCCAGAAGGCGCATTAACCTGGAGCGGATCTGGAAAGAAGGACGTCCAGGATAAAGTGACACCTGGAGAGAGATGAGAAGCGCCTTCCAGGCTGGGGATGAAGCTTGAGCTTCTTTTTCTTTATTTCTTTTCTTTTCTTTCTTTCTTTTTTTTTTTTTTTTTTTTTTTTTTTTTTTTTTTTTTTTGAAACAGAGTCTTACTCTGTCACCTAGGCTAGAGTGCAGTGGCACACTGCAACCTCCACTTCCTGGGCTCAAGCGATTCTCCCACCTTAGCCTCCCAAGTAGCTGGGACCATAGGCATGTGCCACCACGCCGGCTAATTTTTTTGTATTTTTAGCAGAGACAGGCTCTCCCCATGTTGCCCAGCCCCATGTTGCCCAGGCTGGTCTCAAACTCCCGAGCTCAAGCGATCCGCCCACCTCGGCCTCCCAGAGTGTTGGGATTACAGGCGTCAGCCACCGCACCCAGCCGAGCTTGAGCTTCTTAATAGCTATGGCACTGTGGGCAAGTTATTTAATACCTCTATGCCTTAGTCTGTAAAACGGGGCTAATAATGCCCAGCTTACAGTTTTGAGGATTAAATATGCAAAGTGCTAATGCACCTTTACCGGAAGCTAAAAAATAGTAAGCCTTTTTTGTTTTGTTTTTCTTTTCTTTCTTTCCTTTTTTTTTTTAAGATGGAGCCTCACTGTGTCGCCCAGGCTGGAGTGCAGTGGTGCTGCAGTGCAGTGACGCGATCTCAGCTCACTGCAACTTCCGCCTCCCGGGTTCAAGTGATTCTCCTGCTTCAGCCTCCCGAGTAGCTGGGACTACAGGCGACCGCCGCCCCGCCCGGCTAATTTTTTGTATTTTAGTAGAGATGGGGTTTCACCGTGTTGCCCAGGCTGGTCTCGAACTCCTGAGCCTAAGCAATCCTCCCGTCTCGGCCTCCCAAAGTGCTAAATTACAGGCGTGAGCCACTGCGCCCAGCCGTAAGCCTTCCTTAAGTTAGCCATTATCATTGGGTGTCCTGGTTCAAAAACCTGACATGGCTAAGTTCCGGTGTTGGTGCGGGCGGTTGTTTTTTCTTTTGTGACAGGGTCTCGCCTCTGTCGCCCAGGCTGCAGTGCAGTGGTGCAGTCACTGCTCACTGCAGCTTCACCCTCCCAGGCTCAAGATATCCTCCCACCTCAGCCTCCCGAGTAGGTGGAACTAAAGGTGCACATCACCACACTCGACTAATTTTTTTTCTTTTTTTTTGAGATGGAGTCTTGCTCTGTCACCCACGTTGGAGTGCAGTGGCACAGTCTTGGCTCACTGCAACTTCCACCTCCCAGGTTCATGCCATTCTTCTGCCTTAGCCTCCTGAGTAGCTGGGACTACAGGCGCCCACCACCACGCCCGACTAATTTTTTGTATTCTGTACTAGAGACAGGGTTTCACTGTGTTAGCCAGCATGGTCTTGATCTCCTGACTTCATGATCCGCCTGCCTCGGCCTCACAGAGTGTTGGGATTACAGGCATGAGCCATTGTGCCTGGCTGGCTAATTTTTATATTTTTTGTAGAGATTGGGTTTCACTGTGTTGCCCAGGCTGGTCTTGAACTTCCAGGCTTCAGTGATCCACTTGCCTTGGCCCCTCAAAGTGCTGGGATTAAAGGTGTGAGCCACCATGCCTGGCCCAATCTGTTTTTGTTGTTGTTGTTGAGACAAGAGTCTTGCTTTGTTGCCCAGGCTGGAGTACAGTGGTCTTATCTCGACTCACTGCAACCTTCTCCTCCCAGATTCAAGCAATTCTCGTGCCTCAGCCTCTCAAATAGCTGGGACTGCAGGTGCACACCACCACACCTGGCTAATTTCTTTGTATTTTTAATAGAGATGGGGTTTCACTATGTTGGCCAATCTGGCCCCAAACTCCTGACTTCAGGTGGTCCGCCTGCCTCGGCCTCCCAAAGTGTTGGGATTATAGGTGTGAGCCACCTTACCTGGCCCCCAATCTGTTTTAGAAAGATCCTTCTGAAGGAGCTGAGTGAAGAATTGGGGGTAGAGAGAGCACTTGGAGACCAGCTGTCCTGGGCCAGGTGAGGACAGCTAATGAGACTTGAACTAAGGCAGTAACAGTAGGACTAGAAAATAGCATGCACTGGGTTAGAGCTTAACAAATCTAGAATGCTTGTTAAATATGCTGATTCCAGGCCTACCACCCTCACCCCCCAGGAAAAAGTCTTCAAGGGAAAGGCCTGGTAATTAAGTATTACAAGAACTATTGAAGTTTCCCAAGCCTTCTTGTATGCCTGTGTAATCATCTACTGAACCCTTCTGCATGTGGAGATTCCTGCCACCCCTTCCCCTGTAATTCTCCACTGTAATTCAGAATGTATGGCAATAATTTCCAGACTAACCCAGGGGCTCATGGAAGGACCCTGCTAGCTATGAGGAACAATTAGAGGGATGCTTGTTCTAGGGAATCTTCAAATCTCAGGATTTGGTAACTGACAAGTGTGGAGTGAGTTGGGAGACCAGGATGGCTCCTGGTGCCAAGTTCTGGGCAAATCTCATGTAGCATTAAGGGTTTGCTGTGCCTTAGTGACAGCCAGTTTATTCCTTTGTATAGCTGGAAAAACTGAGGCTCAACCATAGCTCGCCTGAGGTCATATAGCCATTATGTGGCAGAAGCAAGTCAGGATTCAGGGTTTTTTTTGTTTTTTGTTTTGAGGCGGGGTTTGGCTATGTCGCCCAGGCTGGAGTGCAGTGGCTTACTGCAACCTCCACCACCTGGGCTCAGGCAATCCTCTCACCACAGCCTCCAGAGGAGCTGGGACCACAGTCACAGGATCACCATGCCCGGCTTTTTTTTTTTTTTTGTATTTTTGGTAGAGACAGGGTTTCGCCATGTTGCCCAGGCTGGTCTGAAACTCCTGAGCTCAAGTGATCCACCTGCCTCAGCCTCCCAAAGTGTTGTGATTACAGGCATGTGCCAACATGCTGTGCCGGATTCAGGTTTTTTAATGGTTGTGTTTTATTTATTTATTCATTTATTTATTGAGACAGAGTTTTGCTCTTGTTGCCCAGGCTGGAGTGCAGTGGCATGATCTCGGCTCACCACAACCTCCGCCTCCCGGGTTCAAGCAATTCTCCTGCCTCAGCCTCCCAAGTAGCTGGGATTACAGGCGTGCGCCACCACGCCCTGCTAATTTTGTATTTTTAGTAGAGACGGGGTTTCTCCATGTTGGTCAGGCTAGTCTCGAACTCCTGACCTCAGGTGATCCTCCCACCTCGGCCTCTCAAAGCGCTGAGATTACAGGCATGAGCCACCACACCCGGCCTAATGGTTGTTTTTTTAATAGCACCCAGCTATGAACTGGGACACATCCCCATTGCCTGCAAAGTTTGAGGAGCAGGGGATGGGGCAATGAAGAGGAAAGAGGAGACAAGACCTTGTTTGACCCCTGGGAGAGCCGCTGGACTGAAGGGAGGGCTAAGGGGGATGAAGCAGTGGCCTTCTGTGACAGGTGTCTGCATCCCCATTGGCTGCTTCTGCCAATGTTGGGGGGACACAGAACTCTGTGGTTACAACCTTCACTTACCTTGGAGAGGCCCAGGAGTGTGTCTTAGAATGAGGCTGTCACCTGAGTTGAGTGTTCCTGAGAGGGCCTCAGTAGTACCATGTGTAAGTACCTGGGCAGGAGGCCTGGGGGTATCACCTTATGTAGGCAGCTCAGGAATGCTGTCCAAGGGTGCCTGAAAGGTTTACCAGCATCCTGTGTGTGCTTCAGTGTGAGGAAGGTCTAGGTGTTACTATTGTGTGCCTGAGGTTGACCCCGAGTTAAAGGTGTAAATGTGAGACACTCCTGATACCTGTGTGCCTGTGAGTCTCAGGTGAAAAAAATGTGCCGCAGCAATGAATTAGTCATCTTACAGGGAGAAGGGAACTCATCTGTTACCATTATACTTGAATTTGAGACATATTTTACCAGTGTGTACCCACGTGGGGCTGTTACCTGAGAATGATACCCAGGTACGATACCTGTCTACCTATTACTTGCCTTACTAACATGCCTGAGAGGAAGCCCAAGTGTATCAGATTTCCTAAGATGGGTCAAGGTGCAACTTGGAGGGGCATGAGAAACGGAGCCACAAGTGTTACCTCCAACAGGGCTTCTGTGAACCCGGAACCCCAATCTGTGCCTCTGGGGTAAGCATCCTGAGCGGGCACGCCTGGGGCTTTAACAGCCCCTCCTTCCTTCATTCCCACAGGGCCCAGTGTTCACCATCACACCAGGGGCCAGAGGCCATGGCTTGCCTCCATGAGACCCGAACACCCTCTCCTTCCTTTGGGGGCTTCGTGTCTACCCTAAGTGAGGCATCCATGCGCAAGCTGGACCCAGACACTTCTGACTGCACTCCCGAGAAGGACCTGACGCCTACCCAGTGTGTACTTCGAGATGTGGTACCCCTTGGTGGGCAGGGTGGGGGAGGGCCCAGCCCCTCCCCAGGTGGAGAGCCGCCCCCTGAGCCTTTTGCCAACAGTGTCCTGCAGCTACATGAGCAGGATGCAGGGGGCCCAGGGGGCGCAGCTGGGTCACCTGAGAGTCGGGCATCCAGAGTTCGAGCTGATGAGGTGCGACTGCAGTGCCAGAGTGGCAGTGGCTTCCTTGAGGGCCTCTTTGGCTGCCTGCGCCCTGTCTGGACCATGATTGGCAAAGCCTACTCCACTGAGCACAAGCAGCAGCAGGAAGGTAGGCCACGTCCTTGTGGGAGCCTCCTCCCTGTTTCCCTGAGCCTGAGATCTGTTGGTCAGCTCCACTAAAGTCATGCAATGGTCCCTTCCCTCCCCATGACATGGCCCTAGTCCCTTAGCCATCCATCAGCCTCTAACTTCCCAACTTCTTTTAAGGTCACCCATTCATTCCTTCCCTGTTCCCTCGAACCTTCTTCTCGGCCTGTTTTTGGCTACTTTTCTGCCTCACCCTCCTTAAGTCAATTCAGCCAACCCAATGCTATCCCGTCCCTGGCCTTGAGTGTGGCTCTTTCTGAGGCTTGTGGCACTGTGCCTCCTGCCCACAGACCTTTGGGAGGTCCCCTTTGAGGAAATCCTGGACCTGCAGTGGGTGGGCTCAGGGGCCCAGGGTGCTGTCTTCCTGGGGCGCTTCCACGGGGAGGAGGTGGCTGTGAAGAAGGTGCGAGACCTCAAAGAAACCGACATCAAGCACTTGCGAAAGCTGAAGCACCCCAACATCATCACCTTCAAGTGAGGTCCAGGGCAGGGGCTGGGTGTTGGGGATACTATGCTAAGGCCTGGTACCCCCCTGGGCAGTGGGACCTACCCCATCCTTCCCAGAGGAGACCCTTAGGTGGAATGGGTGGGAATGGGGGTTCCAGTTATTAATCAGGTGAAGGCTCAGCCAGCTGAGGCCTTCATACCATCGTCTGTCTCGCAGGGGTGTGTGTACCCAGGCTCCCTGCTACTGCATCCTCATGGAGTTCTGCGCCCAGGGCCAGCTATATGAGGTACTGCGGGCCGGCCGCCCTGTCACCCCCTCCTTACTGGTTGACTGGTCCATGGGCATCGCCGGTGGCATGAACTACCTGCACCTACACAAGATTATCCACAGGGATCTCAAGTCACCCAAGTGAGTAAGCAAGCAGGGAGCAACAGATGTGCATGCAGGTGACCCACTCAAGTCAGTGTGGCCTTCTCCGCACTTCCAAACCATGCCCTACGTCCATGTGGCCATCTCAGAAACCTCTTCCAAGTGATAGTCCCATCTCAGGAGGGCTGTAGTGAGCCCCTCACCTTTGGGTGTCCCAAATGATTTAAAACTGAAAGGCAGGCCAGATGCAGTGGCTCACACCTGTAATCCCAGCACTTTGAGAGGCCGAGGCGGGTGGATCATGAGGTCAAGAAATCGAGACCATCCTGGCCAACATGGTGAAACCTTGTCTCTACTAAAAATAAAACAAAATTAGTGGGGCATGGTGGCACATGCCTGTAGTCCCAGTTACTTGGGAGGCTGAGGCAGGAGAATCACTTGAACCCAGGAGGCGGAGGTTGCAGTGAGCCGAGATTGAACCACTGCACTCCAGCCTGAGTGACAGAGTGAGACTCCAGTCTCAAAAACAAACAAAAAAAAACCTGAAAGGCAGAGTTGCTGCAGAGTTAGATGAGGTGTGTGGAGGGGTGTGGACCCCAGCTGACTACACTCTTTACCAGCATGCTAATCACCTACGACGATGTGGTGAAGATCTCAGATTTTGGCACTTCCAAGGAGCTGAGTGACAAGAGCACCAAGATGTCCTTTGCAGGGACAGTAGCCTGGATGGCCCCTGAGGTGATCCGCAATGAGCCTGTGTCTGAGAAGGTCGACATCTGGTGAGGACTAGGCTGAAAACTGAGAAGAGTGGGTGGCCAGCCCTGGGGGCATGGTGGGCAACTTCTAGGGCTTGAGCACAAGTGATGGGCCAGTAGCAACCAGGACCTCTGGAGGAACCCGCTCCCAAGTGATGTCCCCTCATCCCCAGGTCCTTCGGTGTGGTGCTGTGGGAACTGCTGACTGGTGAGATCCCCTACAAAGACGTAGATTCCTCAGCCATCATCTGGGGTGTGGGAAGCAACAGTCTCCATCTGCCCGTGCCCTCCAGTTGCCCAGATGGTTTCAAGATCCTACTTCGCCAGTGCTGGTAAGGATGGGCTGAGCTGGGATACTGGGCCTGGAGAAGTTGAGAACAGCAGTACTGATGGACAGCCAGTACCTAGAACCCTAGGTGGCCAAGTTCAGAGTCCTTAAGAGGGGAAGGGTGTCAGGGCTCCCAGATGTGGCTCCCCAAGTACTGAGGACTCAGGATGTGGAGCCAGGGAACTACAATCTAGAACTGAGAGGGGCTGGACTGACCAATAAATAGCAGGGACATTTAATACAAAGGACTGACTTGCATCTGAATCAGGCTCATTCTACCTTCTGAGCTGAGTCACCAGGGACAAATGGTATCACTCTGAAACTGTTTCCTCATCTACAAAATACAGTTAACAATATCTGCATTCCTGGTTTGTCATGAAGTGCCAGTGAGTGCATACAAGTACAGGGAAGGAGCAGCATAACCACCAAGCATGGTTCATTGAGCCTCAAGTAAACAACCTTAGAACACAGAAGGAAAGGGTCCCAGACCCTCATTTGGAACCTAGACCCAGGGAAGTTTGAAGATGGCTAATCTGTCATTGAGCATCTCCCAAAGTGTGGTTCCTTCAGTGAAGTTATTCAGAAAAGGCCTTTATTTGGGGAGACAAGTTGGAAAATATGGGGTTCAATAGGTTTCCTTACTGCAGGATTTTGACACACTAATGAATAGTGTTTAATATTCCCTAGAGACCATTGACCATAAGTTCTTTTGTCACAGAGTACATTCTAGGATTGGATTCTCCAGGACACACTTTGGGGAAGGATGCTCTAGTTCCTATCTGGTCCTCCCTCAAATTCTCCCCTCTCCTCCTAACTCCATTCCTTTCAGGAATAGCAAACCGCGAAATCGCCCATCATTCCGACAGATTCTGCTGCATCTGGACATTGCCTCAGCTGATGTACTCTCCACACCCCAGGAGACTTACTTTAAGTCCCAGGTGTGCTGTGGGTAGGAAAATGAATACCTAATTCCCCTTCTTTGCAGAGATGATGCCATTTGAGGGGGAGGCTGGGAAATGGGTTAAGTGGGACTGAGGAGATTGGCTCTTAGAGAACAGAGTCAATCCACTCCTTTTTGCTCCAGCACACACATTGGCAGTGACGTGTGGGCAACCTGCAGAGCCTTTCACTGGGTGAAGGGATGGCTCTCACTCCTCGTCTGCTCTCCACCCACAGGCAGAGTGGCGGGAAGAAGTAAAACTGCACTTTGAAAAGATAAAGTCAGAAGGGACCTGTCTGCACCGCCTAGAAGAGGAACTGGTGATGAGAAGGAGGGAGGAGCTCAGGTGAGTTCCTGTGCTTGGGGAGGTGATTTTACCAACAGCAAGGACTATGTACCCAGTCAGCTCCTACCCAGCCCCAGGGCAGGTGGAAGGACTATGAAAGGACTGTGGACAGGAATTCTGAGACTGCGGATCTATTATGGCCCTAGGTGAACCCAGTTCACCTTTGGGAACCCTTCTGCCCGTTGCAGACATGCCCTGGACATCAGGGAGCACTATGAAAGGAAGCTGGAGAGAGCCAACAACCTGTATATGGAACTTAATGCCCTCATGTTGCAGCTGGAACTCAAGGAGAGGGAGCTGCTCAGGTAACCCTACCTGTCCTTATGCACCAAGCCCTGGCGCTGTGCCTGCCTTAGAGATCCTACTGAGACCGGGGTGCCCCTTCCTGGTCATTTGCCCAGCTGAGAAGGTGCCTGGATCTTTAGGCGAGAGCAAGCTTTAGAGCGGAGGTGCCCAGGCCTGCTGAAGACACACCCTTCCCGGGGCCTCCTGCATGGAAACACAATGGAGAAGCTTATCAAGAAGAGGAATGTGCCACAGAAGCTGTCACCCCATAGCAAAAGGTGGGACATGAATGGTGGTTCCAATATGGCAAGAGGGATACTGAAGTGGCAGCAGATGTTTAGCAGGGAGATGCGTACTTTAGTGTCCAAAGATAGGGAGTGCTTTTGAGTACATAGATTTGGCAGTCTCAACCTTTTACTTTTTCTCTCCTTCCAGACCAGATATCCTCAAGACAGAGTCTTTGCTACCTAAACTAGATGCAGCCCTAAGTGGGGTTGGGCTTCCTGGGTGTCCTAAGGGTCCCCCCTCACCAGGACGGAGTCGCCGTGGCAAGACCCGTCACCGCAAGGCCAGCGCCAAGGGGAGCTGTGGGGACCTGCCTGGGCTTCGTACAGCTGTGCCACCCAATGAACCTGGAGGACCAGGAAGCCTAGGAGGGGGACCCTCAGCCTGGGAGGCCTGCCCTCCTGCCCTCCGTGGGCTTCATCATGACCTCCTGCTCCGCAAAATGTCTTCTTCATCCCCAGACCTGCTGTCAGCAGCACTAGGGTCCCGGGGCCGGGGGGCCACAAGCGGAGCTGGGGATCCTGGCTCACCACCTCCGGCCCGGGGTGACACCCCACCAAGTGAGGGATCAGCCCCTGGCTCCACCAGCCCAGATTCACCTGGGGGAGCCAAAGGGGAGCCACCTCCTCCAGTAGGGCCTGGTGAAGGTGTGGGGCTTCTGGGAACTGGAAGGGAAGGGACCTCGGGCCGGGGAGGAAGCCGGGCTGGGTCCCAGCACTTGACCCCAGCTGCACTGCTGTACAGGGCTGCCGTCACCCGAAGTCAGGTAAAGTATGGGAAGGCTCCTGAGCTCTTTCCCTTTTTCCTTATTCTCCCTGGGGTCCAAGTGTAATCCCCCACATTATGCTCAATTTTAAGCCATTCCCTACTTTACCCTTTTAAACTATGTTCCCTTCTTCTGGATTCTTAGTGACCTCTTTCCACTTCTGACCACAGTCCCCCCCATCTCTCCTGCAGAAACGTGGCATCTCATCAGAAGAGGAGGAAGGAGAGGTGGACAGTGAAGTAGAGCTGACATCAAGCCAGAGGTAAGTGATGGAGTACAGGAGTTAATGGCATTTTTGTTTTCTGTAAGGGGCAGAACCAAGCTGTAATCCCCCTCTTCGACATGTAGGTGGCCTCAGAGTCTGAACATGCGCCAGTCACTATCTACCTTCAGCTCAGAGAATCCATCAGATGGGGAGGAAGGCACAGCTAGTGAACCTTCCCCCAGTGGCACACCTGAAGTCGGCAGCACCAACACTGATGAGCGGCCAGATGAGCGGTCTGATGACATGTGTTCCCAGGGCTCAGAAATCCCACTGGACCCACCTCCTTCAGAGGTCATCCCCAGCCCAGAACCCAGCTCCCTGCCCATTCCACACCAGGAACTTCTCAGAGGAAAGCAGGTGAGTGGCACAACAGCAACAAGCAGATATTGAACAGGGAGAGGTGTAAGCAGATAGATGCCTTATCTTTTGACAGCTTTTGGGGAGACAGCTGCACAGGCCAGAAAGTACCATAAAGAGCAAATATCCACGTGGTGGAATTTCAGAAGCCTCTTGCAGAGCATCTATTATGGTGCCTGACCAGTAGCTTGTATGTAGCTATAAGTTGCAGCCAGGGAAGGATTCTGAAAGGAGTCTGACACCCTGGAGAATGGCCTGAGCAACTGAAATCTGGAAGAAATAAATCAGTAAGCCGGTCGGGCACGCTGGCTCGCACCTGGAATCCCAGCACTTTGGGAGTCTGAGGCAGGTGGATCACAAGGTCAGGAGTTCAAGAACAGCCTGACCAATATGGTAAAACCCCATCTCTATTGATAGTACAAAAATTAGCCGGGCATGGTGGTGCACGCCTGTAGTCCCAGCTACTCAGGAGGCTGAGGCAGAATTGCTTGAACCTGGGAGGCGGAGGTTGCAGTGAGCTGAGATTGCGCTATTGCACTCCAGCCTGGGCAAAAGAGCAAGACTGCTGTCTCAAAAAAACAAGTCAGTAAGCCACTGGCTATTAAAATGACCCCAGCAAAGAACCCTAAGGAATCTCACTCCATTTCTACTTTCTCACAGGGCCCTCCCAATTCTGAGGACTCAGACTGTGACAGCACTGAATTGGACAACTCCAGCAGCGTTGATGCCTTGCGGCCCCCAGCTTCCCTCCCTCCATGAAAGCCACTCATATTCCTTGTACATAGAGAAATATTTATATAAATTATATATATATACATATATATATATATATATATATATGCGCCACATAATCAACAGAAAGATGGGGCTGTCCCAGCCGTAAGTCAGGCCGAGGGAGACTGATCCCCTGACCAATTCACCTGATACTCTAGGGACAGTGGCAGCTGTGGAAATGAATGAGGCACAGCCGTAGAGCGGTGCCTAAGGGCAAACTGGCCCCTTCCTGCCCCACCCCATTCCTTATATTCAGCAAGCAACAAGGCAATAGAAAAGCCAGGGTTGTCTTTATATTCTTTATCCCCAAAGATTGGGGGTGGGGGGAGGGAAGGGTGGGAGGGGCAGGAGAGAAAACCACTTAAGACTGCACTTTTCTGTTCTGTTTTACTCTGTTTACACATTTTGCACTTGGGAGAAGGGAGACTAAGGCTGGGTCCTCCCCTCTGAGGATTCTCAGGTGGCAATGTAACTCATTTTTTTGTCCCTCCATTGATCTTCTCTGCCCAAGCCCTGTCTTAGGTCCAGGGGGAGGTTAGGAGACTGATAGCATGTGATGGCTCAGGCTGAAGAACTGGGGTGCTGTTTAAGTCCCTACTTTCTTCCTGGTGCCTGATTGGGGTGGGGACTGTCCTACTGTAACCCCTGTGAAAAACCTTGAAATATAACCACTCCATGCAGGCCCAGCTGTTGAGGGTTTTCTTGATGAATGAATGGGGTACCATACATGGTTAAGATAAAGCCTTGGGCTCCGGACTTCATCTAAGGTGTCTGGACAAGTTCTCCTGCCCCTCCACTTTTTTGCATCTATTCTCACTAAATTGAGTATAATGTCAAGCCCCAACTTTCTAAAATTATAGGAATAAATGGTAGCAGGTACATCCTTCTAACTCGTTATGGAGGACTATAAATGAAGTTACTAAAAACAATACACTGAAATTTTTAGTTTAAAATATGCAAGCCTGAACAAGGGGACCAACATTCCCAAGAAACTGGAACCCAGTCAGACATGACCAACTGCTTAATGTGTATGCCATGTATGTCATGTGTCATTCCCCCGCCCCCCGCCAAGTGGACGTGCTTGCCTGCTTGTAGGACAGGTAAGTCCTAGGAAAGTCTAATCCTCAATCTTTTGGACACAAGTTTTATAAGGGCCAACCAAGCATGAAGTCAGGGAAAAATAGGATCAAGGGCCACAAAAAAAGATGGAAGTGGTAAAATAGAAGAAAACATCTTAACCGGAATAAAGGCTTCTATTCCAAACCCAAGAAGGGTCCTTTGAGGGATAAAAGGTACAAAAATAACAGCAAGACAAGAGGAATAAAACCCACATGAATCACTGTGGCATCCAGTTTCTATTCACAAAGAAAAAGCTCCAGTCCATCTTTTAATTTTTTTGAAAAATTCCTGACATTACAGAACTAAACTGAAATGTATTAATATTCCACTCTTACATTTCCATGACAAACAGAAAAATTCATGAGCCAAAAAAACAAAACAAAAAACCAAAAAAAAAAAAAAAAAAAAAAAAAAAAAACCAGGGAGAAGCTTATAAAACTAAATATGGATCTCAGCATCAACAGCTGAACAGAGAAAGGAATTAAAACGCTTTAATTAAAAAATCACGAGTGGATGATAAAGTGTGTAGAAACTGAAAATTTACAAACTATTTAAAACCTGGAATCGCTGACTGTTCAGAAACTACACAGATGGATCATGGGTGGTGGTGAACAGCAGAAAGGGATTATGGATGAATCTGCATTGTTCTAGCTGCTCCCCATGCCACCCGTCTCCGAGGAAAGCCTGTAACACAGAAACAAGAACTCAGTTAGTTTCCCCAGTGCCCAGCTGCACTTCATCTCTACCTGGTCCATGAAATGTGAAGAGTAAATTATCAGTGCTGGAGTACCAAGGGAGACATTTTAAGGTTTCTTAAATTTACCAGTACCATAATCCTTTAATCCTTGCAATCCAAGCACGTGGAGGTCTATCACCTCAGAACCGAGGGAAACAGCCCTTGGTTATCAAATGTCCCTCAAACTATATTCTTTTAGTTCCACCTCCATGGTGGGCTAACCAAGGAGCATACTTTCTGGAAACAGGCCCCTCTAAAGAGTGCTCACAATACACAGAAGCAATGTTTCTTTATTGCTGAGCTCACTTTGGCTCCTCCCAAACAGCTGACAAAATACCAGTTTAGGAAAGAAACAGTCATCTGAGAGTAGTCTCAAGGGTTTAATGCTGAGACAACTCAAGGCCTTTAAAGCCCTGAAGTTCTATCAATGTGTAGGGTATGAGGTAACACAGTTTTAAAGGTAAAGAGATGTTAAAAAGAGATGTAAAAATAATTATGGGTCAAGAATTATACTCAAATTTATTTATTTAAATTAATTGATTTATTTTTTGAGACAGAGTCTAGCTCTGTCACCCAGGCTAGAACGCAGTGACGTGATCTTGGCTCACTGCAACTTCCGCCCTCAAGCAATTGTCTTGCCTTAGCCTCCACCCGATAGCTGGGATTATAGACAGCCACCACCGCTCCCGGCTAGTAGAGACCAGGCTTCAACGTGTTGCCCAGGCTGGTCTCAAACTCCTGACCTCAGGTGATCCACCTGCCTTGGCCTCCCAAAGTGTTGGGATTATTACAGGCGTGAGCCACTGCGCCTGGCCTTATTGTTTTTGTTTTTTTTGAGACCAAGTTTCACTCGTCACTCAGGCTGGAGTGCAATGGCGCAATCTCAACTCACTGCAACCTCCACCTCCGTGTTCTACCGATTCTCCTGCCTCAGTCTCCTGAGTAGCTGTGATTCCAGGCAGCTGTCACCATGCCCAGCTAACTTTTGTATTTTCAGTAGAGACGGAGTTTCACCATGTTGGCCAGGCTGGTCTCAAACTTCTGATCTCAGGTGATCCACTTGTCTTGGCCTCCCAAAGTGCTAGGATTATAGGCGTGAGCCACCGCGCCCGGCCTTAAAAAGTTTTTAAAAAAGTTTTCAGGACTTAAAAGTAGCAGACAAAATAATTTGTTTTAACTCTGTAGCTCACTCTACAAGCTCCTAGATCTTGTCAAGCCATATCCTCCATCTAAACATACCTGGCTACAATGCCTTTCTGTTTCAAAGAGATGGTCATTTAAGGTCCTGGAATCCAATTTAGGGCTTTGAGGGAAAGGTATTCAAGGACTTGGTATGCTTCATTGGTAGGTAGGTAGGCAGGCAGCAAGACAGGCAGGCAGCTCTCATTTTGAATAGAACCAAATGTGTAAGACTTCATTTCAGTTCATGAAGTTATTTCATAAGATTTTAAATTGATTGGCATAAAATATTTGTGATATGTGGTCATGAAAACATGACTGGTAATTCACCATCTGTATCCTTCCACAACAATGCAAAGCCAAAAGCTGGGTAGAAAAGCAAGGGCCAAAAAACTGAAAAGTCCTTCGACTACAAACTATTTATTTTTAGTCAGAAATGGTTTCTCCACCTCAGCATTAAGGGAATATTTAGTTCTTAAAAGGGGGGTAGACTAGTGCTATTTCAAAACACAATGATCTACCGAAAGGTAAACAATAGCCGTGAATTAAAGGGTTCAGTAAGAACTGAAGGTCTAAGGAAGGAACTGCTAGATACCATTAGACCTAGGACCTAAAAATTTAAGTTTATAAAAATTGGTGGTAGCACTCTGGCCCCACCAGAGCTCTATAAGAAATGTCCTGAATGTGTATCAAGCCCAAATAGGGATTTGCTGGAGTAGGGGAGGTGAGGCAAGGAGAAATGCTATGAAATACTGAGTCAGGTATTCTAGGATAGAAGACCACATGGGGGAGCTCTAAGCTTTAAAAAAAATTAAAACTGAGGTGTTTTGGAAGTATTGATGGTAGCTAGCCCCTTAAACATGTGGAATCCTTCCTTGGGGAATAGCCACTAGATTAAGAGGCTTTCCAATCAAGAACTACATGAACAAAACCAGGTCCCTGGGGGGAGATGGTATCAGCATGATTAAGGCCTAACTACAGAAGGAGAGAGCTTACCAAGGGAGAGACCACATAATAAAGGAGCAACTAAATAAAACTCTTAACTGGACAGGTTTGGCCATCTAATCCTTTATGCATACTTGGGAGCTGTAACACTTCTTCATAGGCCCAATCTGGGATGGAAGGGCCACAATAACATCAGAGAATGAGACAATATATTGGAATACTAACAGCTTTTTTTTTTTTGTCAGCCAATGGGGATGCTGGGAAAAAGTCATCAGGGGAAGTATCTCTACACTGAGTTCTCTAACGCCCTGGGAAGAGCATTATACTTTCAGCACTGTGGCAATGTGTACTCTGGTTGAATGGAAGGCTATCAGAGGCCTTATGCCACTATATAAGTATATTTGTGTTTTATGAGAGGCCTGTGCCCATCTTAGCATAAGAAAATGAACAAGGTTTCAGGGAGGTTAGTATGATATGAGTAAAAGTAAAGCTTAAGTTGTTAGTCCTGGCTAGTCACTCATAACCTACGAATTTAAATTATCTTAGGGCCTCTATTTTTTAATCTGTAAAATGAGGGGATCAATGCGTTACAGATTAGTTGATCCTTAAGGTTCATTCCAAATCTAAGCATGTCACTTCCTACTTGTGATAGTGTTGGTGAGGAGGAGAAAGGATACAGCAAGGAATAGAAAAAAGGGTAAAGAAACTTGGTTAACAGAGTTGGTTTAGGATGAGTGGATGGCATCATGTCAAGTTGTGGATAATGTCACGCGTTGGCTGAGAGATACCCTAATGTCACAGAAAGAGGCATAATGGTAATTCAGAGGAATGCAGACAGAAGCTGCCTAATTTTATTAGACTTATCCCACTTTGCCCCTCCCCTTCATTCTGGGTAAAGAAGTACGTTCTCTTAATGTATGACTTGGAAGAGATCCCTCACGGTAACCATTCACCAGAGGAATCCTGGGATGAACACCTTGTTAGCCGCTGCTGGCAAGGTAAGGCCATCTGAGAAGTCAGACAAACTTCGTCATTAGTGAAGCTTGTTGCCAATTACAGAGGACCCTCAGGATCTAAACTGCTGCAGGCTTTTATTTCTTTGTGGGAATATTGACAAAGGACTATAAAATTCACTTGGGATTCAGAAAGCCCATGTCAGTTATACAGGCTTCCTAGTTGAATAGCCACAGGTCACAAGCCCCCAACCCTTTACCCTTCACAGCACACAGTATACTAAGGTTCTTACTGCGCCAACTTTATTACAGCTAGAAACACAAATATGGCCAAGAAGGCGTGCTGATAGCTTCACCATTAAATAATTATTTAAAAAAAAAAAAAGGTTAACGAAGCAGCTTTTATTAATTAACACAGAGCCTAACACATTGTTATATTGCAAGGCAGAATAAAGCTACAAAGAAGAGTAACAAACAAGAAAGAAGAGAAAACTGTGGCTCTAGATAAAGAATTCAAGTCAGACCCTGAAACAGGCACTCAGCTGAAATGGCCTAAACCTAAACAAGGGTTACCACTCCCCCCACCCCCACCCAGTTATCCCCCAAAGTAGTAAAAAGGAAAGGGTAACAAGCTCACAATAGTTTCATTCTCACCAATGTTAACAAAGGAAAACAAAATGAACCAAATAATACTGGAGGAGGTGCCTCAAGATATGCAATCAGTAGGGAGAGAATCTCTGTTTCTCGCCTTTCAGTTTGTTAGTTACACATGGCACGGCAGAGGTGGTGGTGGTGGTAGCTGAAGCCCCGGTACCCTTAGCAGCAGACACAACATTTAGAGCCAGGAGAGGGATGGGTTTCATGCCAAGCAGACTGGAGACACAAGGGGCGGTCGGAAGAGGGTTGGGGAGGCTGGAGGGTGCGTCGGAGGTCCCCGCTGTGGCGAGCGAGGGGGTGGTGGTGGAGGAGGAAGAAGAAGAAGGGGTGGAGGGTTGAGAGAGGTTGATGCTGAGGTGATCAGGGATCGTGACGGAGGCTGCCTGGGAGGAGGGTTTAGCGTTTTCTAAACTGTAACAGAGGAAAAAAGGAACAAAAAAAAAAAGGGTGGGTGGAAGGGAAGACCACAAAAGGGAATAAGTACAGGACAAAAACTGCTTCAGTTATATCAGTAAGTGCCTCTGGTTGACAATTAGGAAGACCTAGTGTCAACTTGTGACAAGCTTTCTTTTAGCCTGTGTCCCACCCTCTAAATATGTATACTTCCATTCCACAGAGCTACTTAAAAACTGCTATGGGGAAGAAAAAGCTGACAGAGAAAAGAAAACATAGGGCACATACTTTCATGTGTCTGACACACTGACCCAACCCAGACGTTGAAGGAATGATTTCAGGTAGAAAAAAGACACTCATCAATCACCCAACAAGGAAGAAATGTTTCCTCTAATCAAATGTCAATTTCCCATTCTAACAGAAAATCAATTATCCCGTAATTACTTGTGAAGCTTTGAATATTTATAAAGCAGAATTTTAAAAAATCCTTCCAGCTGTAGTATTAAAGTCTGCTTATATTTCCACAGCAAATAAACCAATATTAGGGTAGAAAGAGACAAGAGTCCAAAGTAGGTCACTGACTAATTTCAAATTTCAAAGAATGTAGCGTTTTCAAAGAAAAATGCTGAGAACAGAAGTGTAGATAAGAACTAGGGAAACTTTTCTGGTGGGAGGCGGTATAAAAAGTTGTTTTTGACCGATCATACTTTTAATGTGGACCTTTCAGAAGTGGAAAAGAGAAACTCAAGTATCACCTAAAAATTCATACTTAAAAAGCAAAAATGCTGCTGCTTCTACTCCCAAAATAAGCTCCACAGAACAGTAAGGATATGTGTCTCCCAAATGCCTGTGTCTAAGCCAGAACCACATATATTTGGGAAATTTGCCTGGACAATTAAGCCCACAAGGCTAAGTCTTCAAGAGCAGAAAGGCTCCTCTTAAAACCTCATTTTGTTACCTATGTCCAAAGACAGCTGCAATCCATAAAGGAGAGGGAGGGATACAGAAGTCCACTAACTATATAAAAGGACCCAGACTGCCACCATGAAAAATCAAGAGACAGGAGAAAATGCCCAGAATCCAGTGAAATCCTTCTCACCTTAAAAAAATGAAACAAAACAAAACAAAAAAACCCTTTGACTTCTACATTTAAACTGCACCAAAGAATGGAAAGAATAAGCTTTGTGCATGCAGTCTTTGCTTTGGTGTTAGATGAAACTTTGACCCTAATCCAAGGCTTCGATGATACTCAATTGCTATTCAGTAACAATGATCCTGAAAAGAGTGACTCTACCAAGAGAATTCTGCTTCCTGAAATGTAGCCACTGACCTATTGCAGGGGCTAGACAAGCAGGTGACATTTAAACAGTCACAATTTAAATTACATGAAGGGCAAGCCTACCGAAAGAACAAAACAAATTCCAGCTTTCAAAAACATAATTCTTGCCACTGAAAACCGAAAAATTCCTGCCCTCCAAAATCCTAATTACAAATACGAAAAGCCGGGCGCAGTGGCTCCCGCCTGTAATCCCAGCACTCTGGAGGCCGAGGCGGGCAGATGATGAGGTCAAGAGATTGAGACCATCCTGGCCAACATGGTGAAACTCTATCTCTACTAAAAATACAAAAACTAGCTGGAAGTCGTGGTGCGTGCCTGTAGTCCCAGTTACTTGGGAGGCTGAGGCAGGAGAATCACTTGAACCCAGGAGGTAGAGGTTGCAGTGAGCTGAGTCTGAGTCATTGCACTCCAGCCTGGTGACAGGGCAAGACTGTCTCAAAAAAAAAAAAAAAAAAAAAAAGAGGCCGGGCGTGGTGGCTCACGCCTGTAATCGCTGCACTTTGGGAGGCCGAGGCGGGCGGATCACGAGGTCAGGAGATCGAGACCATCCTGGCTAACACGGTGAAACCCTGTCTCTACTAAAATACAAAAAAAAAAAAATTAGCCGGGCGCGGTGGTGGGCGCCCTGTAGTCCCAGCTACTCGGGAGGCTGAGGCAGGAGAATGGCGCCAACGCGGGAGGCGGAGCTTACAGTGAGCCCAGATCACACCACTGCACTCCAGCCTGGGCGACAGAGTGAAGACTCCGCCTCAAAAAAAAAAAAAAAGAAAAAGAAAAAGAAAAACAATTCTTGTAATCCCAGCACTTGGGGAGGCAAATCACTTGAGGTCAGGAGTCAGAGACAAGCCTGACCAACATGGTGAAATCCTCTCTCTAAAAAAGAAAAAGACCTCTTTGCAAACAACCTTGGTGTAAAAGTCTACTACTACCATTTCATTCTCAACATAGAACCTAGTGTGCTTGGTGGATAGACAAGAAAACAAATCGAGGAATGGGAAAGCTTTTCTACACAGAGTAGCAGCACCTAAAGAAATGAAGAGACTTAAAGCAAGTGTCAGACTGCTACTGGGGAAATGGTATGTTCTTAGCTAGCACTAAATAACCATGGCATACAAACATGGTCAGTACAAGCACAACAATACAGACCTCATAGGAATTCCTTTCCCCTGTACTAGATTCAGGAACTCATGTAAAACTTTTATGACAAAGAGACCAAACACTTGTAAGAAAGGTAAATGATAACTAGACAACACTTCCCATTAAAACAGACCTAAGGGCTTCAGGGCTAACAATGCTTTAAAATATTAGTAAGCAATTAAGGGTGTGACTTCAGCACATGAGTTGAGAAAGCAAGTAATATAAATGACTGTAGGATCCCATTTGACTGTGAACAGTGTCCTCAAATTCTCAGAGTAGTAACATTACCTAGCCATGGGTAAGGGAAATAAAACCCTCAGGAAGCCATTAAGGGATGAGATTGGGGGAGGGGTGAGATAGAAAACACACTTCACACTTCCAAAACATTCCAATACCTGTGCTTCCCACATTCCCACAAGCTCTGAATAAAACACGTGTGCAATCTGAGAAAAATGGGTGTTTCCAGAACAAATGGTAATTGCTGCCTCCAAGAAACTGCCTTGTTGTCCTATTACTCCATTGTCATTACAATTAAGGGTGCTTTGGACTCCAAATCAAATCAGTGAAAGAAACAGTAGTCTATATGCTATGTAGAACAAGAGACCCACAATTGATTTTGAGAGTGCTCTAGCCAGAGAACTCCTATTATTGAAGACATGGGCCACTCTTTCCTCTTCCCATATCATCAAGTTAAATGCGGGCAATCTGTGCTCCCTATTCCCCAACCCCTTGCAAACTTATTGCAAGTTGTTTACTTTTTCTGCTACACTCAAAGTAGGGCTACCAAAAAAAAAATTTTTTGGCCATCTTTACCCATTGCCCATGTAATCCCACATTTAATAACATACTGCAGCTCTCCCTCACACACACATTACTGTGTTGGCATAAGTAAGACAAAAGGTAGGGCAATCTTACCTGACATTGATTAGATATTGAGCCAGGCTAATGCTGGCAGCAGATCCAGTGATGGTAACCTGCCTATCAGTAGATCCTTCCACTGGGTTCGCAATTTTGATCTGCGCCCCAGACATCTGACGGATCTCATTGATTTTGGCGCCTTGACGCCCGATTATGCAGCCAATCAACTTAAGGGAGAAAAACAAGGCACACCAAATTAGAGTTGCATGGCTAGGTCCAAGAATCCCACCCCTGCCCTCTAGCTCCTACAACTGTGGCCAGGCTGGAGTGCAGTGGTCTGATTTCACCTCACTGCAATCTCAGTCTCCTGGATTTGGGCAATTCTCCTGCCTCAGCAGGACTACAGGGACATGCCATCATGCCCAGCCTACTTTTGTATTTTTAGTAGAGACGGGGTTTCACCATGTTGGCCAGGATGGTCTCGATCTCTTGGCCTTGTGATCCACCCGCCTCAGCCTCCCTAAGTGCTGGGATTACAGGTGTGAGCCACTGCGCCTGGCCTTTAAAAAAAAAAAAAAAAAGAAACAGGGTCTCGCTATGTTGCTCAGGCTAGTCTCAAACTCCATGGTTGAAGACATTTTCGAACCTCAGCTTCTGTATCTCTGTACTCCCTGTACCTGGGATTACAGGTGTATACCGCCCTGCCCAACTTCATCCTATACCCTTTATCCATACACTTTTGATCAAAAAACTCTTGACCCATTCTTCAGTCGGACCATGGTGAGAGCCAGTTCTGAGTCAACTTTAGGTCCAAGTATTAGCTCTTCATTATTTCTGTCCTCAGAGTATTAATTCCAAAGACAAAATAAACCAGAGCCAAAACAGGAATAAATTTAGGCAGGCCGGGCGCGGTGGCTCAAGCCTGTAATCCCAGCACTTTGGGAGGCCGAGACGGGCGGATCACAAGGTCAGGAGATCGAGACCATCCTGGCTAACATGGTGAAACCCCGTCTCTACTAAAAATACAAAAAACTAGCCGGGCGAGGTGGCAGGCGCCTGTAGTCCCAGCTACTCAGGAGGCTGAGGCAGGAGAATGGCGTAAACCCGGGAGGCGGAGCTTGCAGTGAGCTGAGATCCGGCCACTGCACTCCAGCCTGGGCGACAGAGCGAGACTCCGTCTCATAAAAAAAAAAAAAATAGATTTAGACAGCTAGAAATAGATAAAGGTAGAAATACATTGTTTCTGGCAGCAAAGATGCTTAAAGTCATCCTGCCGTAATTACCACCTTGACAAGAATTCTGGCCAATTCCTAAGGTGTTTTTGCCTTGGGAAAAGGTGGAGGGAAAAAAAAAAAAGGTCAACATTTGCACTAATACTGTAAACAATATGACCTTGGATAGCACAGATCTAAAGTTCATGAACCACTACACTGTGGTGGGGGACAGTGACTCATGCCTGTAGGCTGAGGTGGGTCAATCACTTGCGCTCAGCAGTTTCACGGCGAAACTCCATCTTTACAAAAAAATACAAAAAAAAGCTAGCCAGGCATAGCAGCATGTACCTGTGGTCCCAGGTACTCAGGAGGCTGAGATGGGAGGATCTCTTAAGCCTGGAAATCCAAGGCTGCAGTGAGTCAGGATCATGCCTCTCTTGCTCCAGCGTGGGCAACAGAGGGAGACCCTGTGTCAAAAAAAAGAAAGCCACCACACTTTTTTTTTTTCCTTTCTTGTTTTTTTTTGAGACAGAGTCTTGCTCTGTTGCCCAGGCTGGAGTTCAGTGGCACGATCTCGGCTCACTACAACCTCTGCCTCCCGGGTTCAAGCGATTCTCCTGTCTCATCCTTCTGAGTAGTGGGATTACAGGTGTGTGCATGCCTGGCTAATTCCTGTACATTTAGTAGACACAGGGTTTCACCACGTTGGTCAGGCCTGTCTCCTGATCTCATGACCCACTTGCCTCGGCCTCCCAAAACTGCTGGGATTATAGGCATGAGCCACTGCACCCGGCCGAAAACCACTAAGGATAAGGCTTTAGCTTCTACAAAACAAAGGCAGGCTGGACGCAGTGGTTGACGCCTGTAATCCCAATGTAATCCCAATGCTTTGGGAGGCTGAAGGGGGGATCGCTGGAGGTCAGGAGTTCAAGATCAGCCTGACCAACATGGAGAAACCCCATCTCTAATTAAAAAAAAAAATACAGGCCGGGCGCGGTGGCTCAAGCCTGTAATCCCAGCACTTTGGGAGGCCGAGACGGGCGAATCACGAGGTCAGGAGATCGAGACCATCCTGGCTAACACGGTGAAACCCTGTCTCTACTAAAAAATACAAAAACTAGCCGGGCGAGGTGGCGGGCGCCTGCAGTCCCAGCTACTCGGGAGGCTGAGGCAGGAGAATGGCGTAAACCCGGGAGGCGGAGCTTGCAGTGAGCTGAGATCCGGCCACTGCACTCCAGCCTGGACGACAGAGCCAGACTCCGTCTCAAAAAAAAAAAAAAAAAAAAAAAAAGGCCGGGCACAGTGGCTCAAGCCTGTAATCCCAGCACTTTGGGAGGCCGAGACGGGCGGATCACGAGGTCGGGAGATCGAGACCATCCTGGCTAACACGGTGAAACCCCGTCTCTACTAAAAAATACAAAAATCTAGCCGGGCGAGGTGGTGGGCGCCTGTAGTCCCAGCTACTCGGGAGGCTGAGGCAGGAGAATGGCGTAAACCCGGGAGGCGGAGCTTGCAGTGAGCTGAGATCCGGCCACTGCAGTCCAGCCTGGGCAACAGAGCAAGACTCCGTCTCCAAAAAAAAAAAAAAAAAAAAAACAAACAAAAATCAGCTGGACATGGTGGCACACACCTGTAGTCCCAGCTACTCGGGAGGCTGAGGCAGGAGAATCACCTGAACCCAAGAGGCGGAGGTTGCAGTGAGCCAAGCCTGGGAAACAGAGCAAGAGCAAGACGCCGTCTTAAAAGAAAAAAAAAAAGGCAGCAAATGGACAGGAATTTCTTTCCCTTTTTTTTTTTTTCTTGAGATGAGAGTTTCACTCTTGTTGCCCAGGCTGGAGTGCAACTGCACTATCTCGGCTCACCACATCCTCCACCTCCCAGGTTAAAGCGATTCTCCTACCTTAGCCTCCCAAATAGCCGGAATTACAGAGATGTGCCACCATGCCCAGCTTTTTGCATTTTTAGTAGAGATGGGTTTCTCCATGGTAGTGAGGCTGGTCTTGAACTTCTAAGCTCAGGTGATAAGCCCACCTCGGCCTCCCAAAGTGCTAGGATTACAGGCGTGAGCCACTGCGTCCAGCTAGGAATTTCTATTGTCAACAAAAAGTTACTGCTGTCTTGTCATACCTCACACAATAATTCTATCATAGCTGTCATCACAATTCTACATACTATAATCAACTTATTTTTGTATCTCAAAATTCCCATTTTCCATTCTTGGGGTATGAAGAACAAAAACAAAAATAAAGATAAAATTATAAAATTCCCAGTTTCTTTCCCTAGGGCTTAAAAGTAGCAGGACATGTAGGCCAAGTGCAGGGGCTCACGCCTGTAATCCCAGCACTTTGGGAGGCCACAACGGGCAGTTCACCTGAGCTCGGGAGTGCGAGACCAGCCTGACCAACATGGAGAAACCCCATCTCTACTAAAAATACAAAATTAGCCAGAGGTGGTGGCACATGCCTGTAATCCCAGCTACTCGGGAGGCTGAGGCAGGAGAATCGGTTGAACCCAGAGACAGAGGTTACAGCGAGTAGATCACGCCATTGCACTCAAGCATGGGTAAGAAGAGTGAAACTCTGTCTCGGGAAAAAAAAAAAAAAAAAAAAAAAAAAAAAAGGTAGCAGGACACTGCTGAAACGACATCTATTTCTTTAAAGTCAATTTTCTCATTTTCATCCTACACAACCTAACTACACTTACATCATTTGGAATGGTGAGTTCATGAGAAGTAGTCTGAGCAGATGCATCCAAACCTGCTAAAAGACAGAAGAGAGCAAGCAAATTCAATGCACAGCATTCAAAACCCCACTGACTTGCACATTAAACTAACAGAAGGAAATAAACTGGAAACCCAGCATCATTGGCTGTTGGGATTCATCACTAACTTGGAAGCCTCCAAAGAGGAAAGAGGGGGGAGAAGGGTGTAGAAATAATGCTCGAAAGGTTCTTCTGTACACTCAGAAGAGCTGATTTCATGCCATTTCCTGCAAAGCCCAGCCTATTAGGGACGGGGGATGGAAGCAAGGGCAAGGGAGTATGGTATCCTCAAAGAGGACCAATGTCTAAACAAGTCCTTCTGTACTTCTACCCCTATCCTGCTGTTGTGTTCCAAACTGCATCTCACCTGATGCTCACTAGCACCAGTGCCAATATTATGCCTGTTAATGGGTACCATGGACTTTTGGCACACATGCAGAGTTGTTTTAAATATACCTGTATCAGATTAAGGCCCTCCACCCCCTATCCTCCTAACCTAGACTGGAAGGTCAGATAGAATGAAATGGCAGTCAGGTGAGGGGACTTCATTTCTCCAGATTTAGTCCCTGTCTTTTGTTCAGTAATTTTGTTCTGGCTTTCATTTTGTTTTCCAAAGAAAAAGAAAGAAAAAAAAAATCCCATCAGCAAATACCCATACCCATCTTTAACAACACCTGGACTGAACCAGGCCAGCTGGCTAATACTCAAGCTTAGTCCTGATCTCAACTATGGCTGCTGGTCTCATCATTTTTAGAAGGGGGTTGGCCAGATCCATCAAGGGACCCTCGGGGGCACCAGGCCCACCCCTTCGCTCTCTCAGCTCCTCTCTGCCATGTGCATGTTGCTGGTATGGTTCATGGGCAGTGAAACAAGACTCCCACCAGTTTATTAATATAACAGTAGAATACTACAGATTTTTTTTTTTTTAATCATTACCCCAATAGCCTTTCACCTCTGGAGAGCTGGATTCAATGCCTGTTAAGATACAAGTGAAAATGAGTTTGGTGGTCTCATCCTAACCCTATCGGACAAGTTATTCCTTATACAGAAAAGCCCCAAAAACAGAAATAAAACAAAAACAAAAACAAAAACAAAAAAACACTACACAATTTGGCACAAATGGATGGTCTCTACCCAAGCCTGTGAATTGCTGGTGGAGAGAAAGGGGGTGCTGATCAGATCAAGGGGGCAGCAGTCAGGATGGGCTCAAAGAAATATCAGCCTACCCTTTGCCTGACAAGCATCCCCAAACCTCACCCCCAAACCTTCCAGGGCTTTTTTTCTTTTAGAATAACTGACCCCAAATGAAAACCACGTTAACAAACACATTACCTCCTTGGGCTTAGCCATAGTAGACAGGCAAGTTTAAACCAGCAGGATGCTGGATAACGAAGTTTGTTTTAAACAGATGTCAAGCTGAGACCTTGGGACTGGCCTCTCTCTTGCACTACACCTTACAGAAATAAACACTGAGGTATGCATACCACTGAATCCGGTGTTGCCATGCGTCATGGGAAAATGAGACTGTTGCATTGCCAACTGGTGCAGCTTGGTCAACTGCAAGGAGGAAACAGGAGGTTGGCATTAGAAGATTTAAAAAAGCCAGGGCTCAAGCACATTCAAATTTGAAAATGCAGGTCCTGATCCCCAAAATTGACTCTACTACTCAAACTACAACAGAGGGTAGGGATGGGGCTTGCATCGCAATCCTGGGGATTGGCAGAATATGATGGGTAAGGGTTAGAAATAGAAAGGGTGCCTGGAAGAATAGAATGAATGCCTTTTGGGTGTGCGAATAGAAAAGCAACAGCACTTGCCCAACGACCATCCCCTTGGGAGCTACTTAATGAAGGTAGTTTGCAGCCATTGCAACAGTTGCCGCAGGAACAAGCACAGACAGGCTAGGTAAACAAACTGTGCAGTGGTGCTAGGGAAAACACACCATGCAGGGTTTCATCAGTATTGGGGAGAGGGAAGGAGATGAGGGGGGCAGGGAGACTGCGAGGAGGAGAGGTGTAGAAACCGTACTGGGTTTAGTCCCATCACCGCCACCACTGACTACTACAGCTATTTTTATTCATCTATATAAACTGTCCTGTCATAAAATAATCCTTCTTCACATCTACTTCTCTCTCTCCTGGGGCCTACCACTAACCAAGACTGAAACTCAATTTCCCAAGCCTAATGCTCAGCACCTGGAAACGTTAGTAAGAATAAAAGTGCAGAAAAAAAATGCCCGAAGTCTAAATACCAGCACTTTTAAATAGGTTTTAGCAGCAAGAAAGGTTTGAGTTGAATTCTGAAATGTTCAGGTTCCTATCCTTCTCTGTGTAACATAAGCCCCTTCCCCATCCCTCCAAATACTTTTGATATTGTCATCTCAGATTGAGGAGTTCCCAAAGGCAAACCTCCCACTACCCTCATGGAAAAGAGAACTGCATGCAAGGAAGTACAGTCCCAATGTCAATTTAAACTGTGCCCTGAGATAACAAATCACAGTATACCACGGAACATTTCCCTTTTAGAACCAGGGTAATCTGAAACACAGGGGGAAAGGAGAAGCTAATATGCTGAATTTCAGGGGTTAAATGTTAAAAGGCAAACAAGGCATTACCCTGATTAAAGGGCTGAAATATGGGATTGACCTTGTGAAGAAAACAACTTAATATTGCAAATGCTGAAGACCCAACTCACTTCTGGCTATTTGGGAGAAAGGAGTGAGACAATTTTGGATGGGAGAGGGAGCTTTTCAAAACAGAAGTGAAAACAAAACTTACATCTGGCTGTGGAATGGCATACTGTCCTTGAATGGTATAGGCCTACAAAAGGAGGAAAACAGTTCCTATTAAAAACCAATCACGGACAGCCACCCAGTGGGGGAGAAAAAGACATTTCAACTAGCCAGGAAGCCAGAGTTGAACTACAGAATGGGGGAGGCCAGAGATTGAGGCAGTAGATGGAATCTCACGAATACAGTCAGACCCAAATTGGCCCTCTTTGAAACCTAAATATGACTTTGTTCCAGGGATCCTATAAAGATAGCCAAGTTCCCTGCAATCAAAGGCAAAATATACATAACTGTTTCTTAATGAAAATGTGGGAAGTGAGATTAGCAATGCCTCGATTGACCAAGCCCCACTCTTCCTCGCTGTATACAAGATAGCCTAGGAGGAATAATGATCTCTTCCCTCACCACCCCCACCCTTCTACCAATTGTGGTGATGTGGAAGATCTCTATCTGCACAAACCTACATGGCATGTTTTGAAACACTTCCCTTTCTCCAACTTATTTTTCTATCTGCCTGAAGACCTTAAGAACACTGGATGCTAGCTGAGTCCCTAACACTAGGGAGCTGATCACAGGTAAACAAAAACCACTGTGTTCTAACTCCTGTCTTCTCCCACCTCCCCTCCATACGCACTTGCAGCTCCCACTATGCCCTCCTCCCCCCACAACATAACCTCCCAAAAAGGGAGCTGGGTCTTCAGGGCAATGGGGTAGGGAACAGGAGGAAAGGAAAAGGGAACGGGGAGGGAGGGGAAGGAAGGAGTGGCTGGTTAACAGGATGTGAAGCTTCTCACATCACAGTGGCCAGTACCCCCAAAAGTACACCCAGGTGGGGGTGGAAGGAAGGTGAAAATGGGGTGGGAGGAGTGGGAGAGGGGAAGAGGGGTTGAACAAAAAAAAATTAAAAAAAAAAAAAAAAAAAAAGTTGGTGTTACCATCTGGTGGGCTACGCGGCCTGGGTGAAATGAGGTTGGGGGGGTCAGTCCAGGTCCCCGTGGACAGGTGGTGTCCACAGCACCAAAAATCACCAGCGCCACTGGCCCCCCGTGTGTTGGCAGTCTCGGCTGAGGCGGAAGGATTGAGTGAGCCTTGGAGACTGAACATCCCCTCTCACCTCTAGAGGTGGTCCCTCCAGGTCAGGGTTGAGGCACATGGACGGGGTGGTGTGGGGAAAGCTCGCACTGTCGCTGCCTGTGCTGTACCTGTCCTGTGGATAAATAGAGGATTTCAGTCTCCAGGGCTGTCAATCCGGCACCTTGTCACCAGCATGAAATTCACACAAAAAAAGTTGTTTATTTTTTTCCTTTTTCCTTTAAAAAGGAGCTCAGACACAATTTGAAACGAGCTGTAATCAGTGAATTAAAAAAAAAAAAGTTACCTAGTGGCAGATTTCACACTGCACAATTGGGCTATTTTCAGTAAGAATGAAGGGATGGGGCAACAGAGCTGACCCCAGCTCCTGGTCAGTGTGTGGGATTAAGTTGAACCCTTACAGAGCCCACTTTGCCACAAAGGAACAAAAGACACAGGTCCATCTGTGGACATGGTATATTTAAAAAGGCCTGTGGGAACGATCCATGATAGGGCCACTCATAGAAGAAACTGCAAGTTTTTAGACGGTGGTCCATCAACTAAATAAAGGGAAGGGAGGGAGGAAGGGAGGGAGGGAGGGAGGGTAGGGAAGCAAAGAGGTATGAAGGGGGAGGTGTGATGGGGAGGGGGAAAAAAAGGAAGTGAAGGAAGAATTTTAAGTACAGAGGATTGCTGCCACCCAGTATGGGACTCTATATTCCGAAGGGGGAGTGGGAGAATCCAGAAGAGCAGGAACCTGGAGTTCCTGGGAAGGAAAAACTAAGGCTAACCCCTTCTGGCTACACTGACTCTGGGTCTTTGCTTATCCTGCCCAACTCTAACTAGACTGAGAGCCCTTTGACCAAACCAGTTTGTACTTGTCTAAAAGTAAGGTACTAAACTGACTCCAGGTTAACACTGTGACATAACCGGCCTTCCTGTGAAAACTCTCGTAACTACACAACAAACTAAATCCCTAAAAACTTGTTCATTTTTATGCCAATTCAACAGAATGTGAATGAGATGGACTCCCAAGTTTATGCTTGCCCTCTAAATGGCTCCCAGATCAAACGCAAATAAGATGGAACTAGTTAACTAAATATGCTTATAACAGACCAACCCCAAGTGGGAAAAGGTTTTGAGCAATGCACTTGCTTAGGCAGCTACCAAAATCAGTCACTATTTCAACCTGAATCCCAATACAGTTGTCCCTAGGTTATCGGTGGGAGATTAGTCCTAGGATCCCCCCCATAGAAACAAATATCCATGGATACTCAAATCTTTTACATAAAATGGTGTAGTACTTGCATATAACCTAAGCATATCCTCCCATATAATCATCTCTACATTACTTATAATATCTAATACAATGTAAATGCTATGTAAATATTTGTTATACTGTATTGTTTAATGACAAGACAAAGCCTGTACATGTTCAGTACAGATGCAACCACCCATTTTTTTCCCTGAATACTTTTGATCTGAGGTAGGCTGAAGGTGGAACCCACAAAGGGCCGACTCTATTTTAAAACCTGACCTACCTACTCCTCAAATACAATCAGAGCATAGGACTAAGTCCTCATCAATGCTTCTGTCATAATAATCTAACTTCAGAATAGTCCATGTGCCAAAGATCAAGAGTTTAGGTTGATGAGGAAGGAGCAGAGAGAGGCCATGGTGGTGCTTTGGTGTTCTTACTCTAACACGAAATGTCACAGCACCACAGTCCAACACGCTCACCCCCTTCTATTCTTGCACACTGAACTCTTACCCCAGCTGATTTCAGTTATGCCATGTGGGTTCAAACCAGTGTTTATGAGGTTAAGAGCCTAGGGGACAACACACTGGAGTTTGGGAGTGAAGGGGTAGGAGTAGGGGAGGTGAGGTGGAGGGAAGGGGAAGTTTGTAGGACACTCAAATTCAGGACCCCCAAATTTTGAGACCACCATCCAGAATCTCCTTCAGAGGTCCGATTCTTTGCTACCTTTTATTTATTTAGACCTCTAAATATCACCCCACACACATAAAACATGGATGGGGTGGGGACAGGGAGAGAAGTAGAGACAGTAAGGCAATTCAACTCTTATATTCTAACCCAACCCACCTTAAGTAACCAAGTAAGTTACCTCTTCCGAGTGCCTACAAAACTTCCATTGCCTGCTAAAAATTAAGGCATTCAGCTTTCTCCAGTACAAAAAATAAAACTAAAAGCAGGTCAAACTATGGCCAGAGTATAGGTTTCAGCAAGCATGCAGAGTGGCTTGGTGTGATGCTGGCAAAGTTGACATTTCATATATAATCTCTGTTCATTCTAGCCCATCAATAAGAATTTTCTTACCTGACCACCTGCAAAGATGACCGGAGAGCTGGACGGCTTGGGCCGGTACGGGATGGTCACGCCCTTCGGGGGGGACTGGGAGAGAGTCAGAGGGGAAAAAAACAAAAAGAGATAAGGTTTCAAAGCTGCTTCAGCTGTGTGGCTTTAGCTCACACAGGTCAGTTAAATTAAAAACTATTTCCATCCCTTTACCTACCAAATTGTCTCTGGCTAGATCTAATCTCAAATCATCTACTAAACGTTATTTGCCTTTAATGCAGTAAGTCCAAGGACTACACAATTGAAACTAATTTTCATCAAGGGAGATGTCCATGTAATAATCTTCGGCACTATTTCCAAAATTTTAGATAAATTTAATGAACATGAAAAACTGTTGAACACATACATTTTAGTTGGTAATTTTTAGTATCTCACAATTTTTTTTGGCCTGAATAGGAAATAAAGCCAAAATTGGAAGTAAAATACTCAAGTGTTATGTCCAAAGTAATACAGACACACTATAAATAGTTCAAAGGCCCAATCAAGCTTTTTCTAATCTCGACTTGAAAATCCAGTTTCCAGGCCGGGTGCATCGGCTCATGCTAGTAATCCCAGTACTCTGGAAGGCTGAGGCGGGTGGATGGCTTGAGCTCAGGAGTTCAAGACCAGCCTGGGCAACATGACAAAATCCCATCTCTACAAAAAATTTTAAAAATTAGCCAGGTGTGGTGGCGCATGCCTGTAGACCAAGCTACTGGGGAGACAGGTGACAGAATCGCTTAAGCCTGGTAGGCAGAGTTTACAGTGAGCCAATATCGCGCCACTGCACTCCAGCCTGGGTGACAGAGTGAACCCATCACACACACACACACACACGCACACACAATAAAAAAAGAAAGAAAAAATTCCAGTTTCATTTCTCACCAATGAAACCGACTCCGTATCACAAATCTGAAAAGGCTTAATTTTCCTGAATTTTGCTAGTCTTTTAATAGAATAATAGTATATAATGAGGACCTCATTAGTCATTCGGAAACATCATCATACATACGTTTTTCTACTCTTTATAACACTTTGAATACCCTCCTACAAAGTGACAAGTTGTTAAAGAACATGTCCAATTTCCATGTAACCAAAATACAGCAATTCAAAATGTAATAACTCAGCTACTCAGGAACCCAAATACATCTGTGGCCCCCTCAGTCCATGCAGTGCATCTTCCCCCTCTGACTCTGGTACACAACTGCTGTGAACCAAAGATCACTGCTGCTTAGCAGTTTCTATTTTTGCTCACAGACCATAAGAAAAGTCAAAGCTAGGGGAAGGAAAATATGAACTCAGGGAACCTTTTACCCCCACCCCCACTGGAAGCCTTAACAGCTTCACTTAATTCTAGTCTTACTAAATATAGATCAGTCCCTCTGTCCCCAGAATGGCCCTCCCCCCATTCTCAGCATGAGCCTGAGGGCTTACCTCCAACATGACCACGCAGATCTGTTTGACACACTCAATGATGGATTGCGGAATGCCAGCAATAGTGATGGCCCGCTCAGTTGAGTTGGGTAGCATATCCCCTGCCACCTGGACCTGAGCCCCTGTACTCTTTGGAGTAAAAAGAAATTCAAAATCAGAGAAAAACAGCTCATGCTTTTCCAATTCCTCCCAACAGCAATTTCAGAGTCTAAAACTCTAATGGATATCCATCCATTTCCAATCTTCCCTTTTTGTTCTTTGTCCCACTCTTCCCTTATTCCACATAGAACTGTTTAACAAATTAGAGTTAAAAATAAATTAGCCACTGAAAGACAAGAATAAGCCTCAATAACAGCCTAAATTTAACCTACTCTCAAGCAAAAGGTCCTTCTAAATAGTTTCCTCTCAACTAATGATAGTTCCTCTGGGCAAAGCAAAAGCCCCACCAAGTATCACCCACCTTTCATTATCTTACTGAATAAATATTTACATCAAGGCCATTCATGTGCCAGGTACCAGGACAAGTGCTTGGAATACAGCAATTAGCAAAATGAAGATCTCTGTTGTCATGCCATGTACAATACACTCCCAAAAACTCAAGCAGCCATTCGAGTTTCATTCCAACACATTCAGTAACATCTAAATACAATTAAAATCTTCCACAATTCAATGTAACTTCCACAGTTAAACAGGAAGTAGGGGCCATGCACGGTGGCTCACACCTGTAATCCGAGCACTTTGGGAGACCAAGGCAGTCAAATCACTGAGGTTCAGGAGTTGGAGACCAGCCTGAGCAAAACAGTGAGACCTGTCTCCATAAAAAATAAAAATTAAAAAATTAAAAAAATTAGCCGGGCATTGTGGAGTAGGCCTATGGTCACAGCTACTCAGGAAGCTTGAGGTAGGAGGGTCACATGAGCCTAGGAAGTCGAGGCAGCAGTAAGCCATGATCATGATTATGCGCTGCACTTCATCCTGTGTGACAGTGAGACCCCGTCTCAAAAAAAAAAAAAAAAGTAGAATTACATCTATTTCCCAATACATCTTCCTATTTTTCTCCTTGCTGTTTATAAGCCTGGTCAAGAAAAATGACATTGTAGGCAAGCAGGTGTGCTGGCTCAAGCCTGTAGTATCAACACTGGGAGACTGAGGTGGGTGGATTGCTCGAGCTCAGGAGTTCGAAACCAGTCTGGGCCACATGGCAAACCACCTTTTCTACAAAAAAATACAGAAATCTGGATGTGGTGGCAGGAGCCTGCAGTCCCAGCTCCTCAGGAGGCTGAGATGGGAGGATCACCTGAGGCTGGGAAGGTCGTTGTTTTCCTGCAGTGAGCCATGACTGCACCACTGCACTCCAGCCTGGGGAGACAGAGTGAGACCACGTAAAAAATAATAATAATAAAAATTAAAATTAAAAAATAGAAAAACTGTTGCTACTACTGCAAACTCATCCCTTGAGACATGAAAAAGAACTATGTAGCCTCATGGAAAAGTTGCCAAAAAAGAAAAAAAATGTTATATGTAATAGTTGGAAATTCTGATTAACTTTCTCATGTTCTGATTTACTACAATTTATGAATTATGCAAAATTATATTGCAAGATAGTTTTCAGTACAATCACATTGTAATCCTCTAGAACTGTTAATTCAACAAAAATTTTCATCTCACTGCTAACTTTTCCTAGCCATACAAAGAGTCAAGTTGGAACAAATACTTAACATTTCTAAAAGGAGCACAAAAGTCACTAACCTCTCGTATTTCCTTGATCTTGCAACCACCTTTTCCAATGAGAGAGCCACACTGACTTGCAGGGACCACCAGCCTCAGGGTGACCGGGGGTCTACTGGCAGCTGTGCTATTGGTCATAGAGCTGCTTATGTCCTACAGAAAGAAAGAACACCAGGATAAGCAGATCCCTGGAAACCAATAACTACCAGTAAAGAACCACTTACCCTTGATCTCGTAAGGACTTGTGAGGTCATAACCCACCGTAGACAAAAGTTCCAATACCATGCCCCTCTCAAACTATTTCTGATGTACCGATAAAAGCTCTTGAAAAAATTCCTCAGAATTAGCCATAAATATATTTTCCTTCACCCTGAAGAAATGTACTTGGTAGGGATAAAAGTGATAATCTATTTTGCAGTTACATTGGCCAGGCAATGGGGGAAAAAGGTGATATCAAAATTAAATCAAATACTGCCAGGCACGGTAGTTCATGCTTGTGATCCCAGCACTTTGAGAAGCTGAAGCAGGTGGATCATTTCAGGTCAGTGAGTTCAAGACCAGCCTGGCCAACAGTGAGATCCCATCTCTACTAAAAATACAAAAATTAGCCGAGCATGGTGGCTGGTACCTGTAATCCCAGCTACTCAGGAGGCTGACACAGGAGAATCACTTGAACCCAGGAAGCAAAGTTGCAGTAAGCCAAGATTGTGCCACTGCACTCTAGCCTAGGCAACAGAGTGAGAATATCTCAAAAAAAAAATAAATAAATAAATTTAAATCAAATCAAATATTAAGAAAAAATATAAAACAGGCCAGGCACAGTGGCTCACACTGGTAATCCCAGCACTTTGGAAGGCCGAGGTGGGCGGATCACCTGAGGTCAGCAGTTCAAGACCAGCGTGGCCAACATGGTGAATGCCCGTCTCTACAAAAATACAAAAACTAGCTGGGTGTGGTGGCATGCACCTGTAGTCCAGGCTACTCAGGAGAATTGAATTCAGGAGGAAGAGGCTGCTGTGAGCTGAGAATACACCACTGCACTCCAGACTGGGCAACAGAATCAGACTCCATCTCAAAACAAAACAAAAAACAAAAAAGGTAGATATAAAACAATACAACCCTACTTACACCAACTCTACCCTGTTAGAAAACTAAAAACAGGCAGGGCACAGTGGTTCACGCCTGTAATCCCAGCACTTCGGGAGGTCAAGGCAGGTGGATCACCTGAGGTCAGGAGTCTGAGACCAGCTTGGCCAACACGGTGAAGCCCCATCTCTACTAAAAATACAAAAATTAGCCGGGCATAGTGGTGAGCGCCTGTAATCCCAGCTACTCGGGAGGCTGAGGCAGGAGAATTGCTTGAACCCAGGAGTCGGAGGTTGCAATGAGCCGGAAACACGCCATTGCACTCCAGCCTGGGTGACGAGGAAACTCCATCTCAACAAAACAAAATAAACAAACCCGTAGATTTGACTGTATTAGTTCAAAGCCTATACTCTTTCCCATAAACACATGCTGCATCCAAAAAGTCATGGTTTTAATCTAGTTAAATTTAGCCTTCTGAAGATTAAGTGGTTTAAATATCACTTACTAGCCTAATCTCTAGGCTGATAACTAAAGACCTGGAAACTGCTTAAGCAGTTAAGATCTCTAAAGACAAGGACATGTTTATTCCTTGGTTAAGAAATAAACAGTTCATATTCTAGCTTACAATTTTTTTTTTTTTTTTAAATAAAATAAAGGCCTGGCCTGGTGGCTAGTGCCTGTAATCCCAGCACTTTGGGAGGCTGAGACAGGAGGATTGCTTGAGCCCAGGAGTTCAAGATGAGCCTGGGCAACACAGGAAGACTCAGTCTCTACAAAACCCATGAAAACTAGCCAGACATGGTGGTTTGTGCCTGTGGTCCCAGCTACTGGGGAGGCTTAGGTGGGATGACTACTTGAGTACAGGAAATTGAGGCTGCAATGAGCCAAGGTAACACAACTGTACTTCAGCCTGGGTAACAGAGCAAGACCCTGTCTCAAAAAACAAAAAAAAATAGTCCATGCTGGGCATGGTGGCTCACCTCTGTGATCCCAACACTTTGGGAGGCGAGACAGGAGGACCACTTGAGGCCAGGAGTTTGAGACCAGCCTGGGAAACATAACAAGCCCCCATCTCTACAAGAAAAGGTTTTTAAAAAGTTATCCAGGCAGGGTGGCATGCACCTGTAGGCCCAGTTACTCAGGAACCTAAGGCAGAAGGATCACTTGAGCCTGGGAGGATGCAGTGAGCTACAGGTATACCACTGCACTCTAGCCTGGATGACAAGAGCACAACTCTGCCTAAAAAGAAAAAATAAATAAATAAATACTATGATGTATAAAAAAGAACTAGTTCAAATTTATTCTTGAACTTGAACAAGAATTAAAACGTGTTTTTTAAACCATGAATTCTGGACTTCTAGAACTTCTAGTTCTGGACCCTGGGGGTCAAAAGATAACATTTCTAATCTTGGCAAAGATAAGATGTCAGGCACCGTTTAAGTACCAACCACCAAGGAAGCAGCACTCCTCTGCCTATCAATTGCACAATTAGCTGCATTACTGCAGAAGGGGGAGAGAGAGGGACTGAATACAAGACCCAGGACAATAGCTCAGCCTCTGAAGGTTGGCGGGGGAAAAACTTCCTCTTGATAAAACCTCTGCTGTTGAGCATTTCAATTCTGATAACCTAGGTCTCTTCCCAACAAGTGTAATTTTGACACAGTGTTAGCAGATTGACTTTTCAACCTAAGAGCAACTTTTTGATACAATGTTAACAGATTGACTTTTTAACCTAAGAGCATCAGGATTGCAAGATTGTTTGTGTTTATAACATCAGGTAAACCGTATCAGTTGGGTATATACTCAAGCCTTTTACCAAAGCAATGGCATACTTTCAACAGATGCTTTTCATGCAAACTATTTACATTAAGTCCGTGGCAAAACTCAAACTGTTTTGATGATTCAAGTGACTTTTTTTTTTTGAGATGTTGCCCAGACTGGAGTGCAGGGGTGCAATCTCGGCTCACCACAACCTCCACCTCCTGGGTTCAAGTGTTTCTCCTATCTCAGCCTCCCGAGTAGCTGGGATTTCAGGCGCACACCACCATGCCTGGCTAATTTTTGTATTTTCAGTAGAGACGAGGTTTCACTATGTTGGTCTCTTAACTCCTGACCTCGTGATGTGCCCGCCTCAGCCTCCCAAAAGTGCTGGGATTACAGGCACAAGCCACCGCGCCCAGCCTCAAATGACTCTTTTTTACCTACAAATGGTTGAATTTTGTGGCAGGCTACAGGAAGCTAAGGACCCATTTACGGAGTCTCATGGTCCAGTTTGTCCTTAAATTTAAAAAGCTCTTAGAAAATCAACAAGCTCTCTGGAAGCACTTAAAAACGAAGAATGAGGGAGTGGGAGACAACAAACCTCTTCCAGTTTGTCAATGATCATAGCAAAGGCTTTGAAGATGGCATTAGTGGGTCCAGCCAAAGTGATAATTCTCTCAGGACAATTCCCTTCTGAGATGTTGATACGTGCACCACTCTAGATAGGAAACAAGAGCCAAAAGAAGTTAAAGAGACAATAAGATCTGAGTATGTACAGGATCTACAGTCCCTTGTAAAAGGGACAAGGAACTGCCAATGTACACGATCCTGATGCAACGCAAAGTCAGCATCATTCCAACACTGCTGCTCCATGTCTATCCTCAAATATAGCCTAGAGCAGCTGCCTTAAGTCTTGAACGAATTCTATGACTTGTCAAAACCACACTTCCCGAATAGGGAAAAAAAAAAATACACTTCCCAGATTGCCATTACAAATAACCAGGCTGGAAAAAAATACGTATTTCCCTTATTGAGACTTTCCTCCCTAATTTCTGAAAAAGAATTTTCACTTGTTTTAAAGGTTTTGTTACTTCCCAAAGTTAACAATCTCAAAGTCTTTCATAACTTACCTCCTCGCGCATCTTCTTAACTGATTCTCCTTTCTGTAAAGGAAAAGTCAAGCATGAGCTCCAACTGCTATTTCAATCCAGAACAACTAAATGGTAATTAAAGTTGAAATGAAATTATCTTACCTTTCCGATGATACTGCCAACTTCCTGCAATGCAGAAAACTAACATCAGTAAGAGGAAATCCCAAAGTATTTCTTTTTAAAAATATATTTTATTTTTCCTTTCTCTACATGTTCTAATGAAGTATTCACCACGAAAAGGAATTTTAACTGTCCAGCTGACAGACTGCTATCTATGCTAATTATTACCCCAAAGGAATGGAAAGATTTGAAGATTTATTGGGGGGAGTAGACTTACTATAAGCAACCTCCATGAGAAAAACCTTACCATCCAGGTATGAGACAGTTTTTGGCTCCAGCCTCTAATTAAGCCTTTCCTGCTCAGTGGAGCTTCCTAGTCAAGTCTGTCCATTTTCCCACTACACTCACATCTACTCCATTAGGGAAATGTGCTAAAGCCAGATGCCCCACAGTGCTAATCTGATGAGCTCCAAGATGCATGTCTGTTCTTCCTGGCCCCTCCCCTAGCAGTTACTATGACCCAATTTCCCAAGCTGGAGCATACCTTTCCATGCATAAGTAGCCGGATGGTGAGAGTGACATTTAATCCACCTTCAATCACACCGGTGTCCATGTCGAGCAGTGTTCTGGGGAGCTGGACTTTTGAGTGGTCAAGTCTTTGGTCACTGGTAGGGAGTGAAAGCCAAAAACTAAAATGCAAACATGACCAAAATCAGAGGAGTAAAACAACAGGATTATTATTTCCCAAATTATTTTCACTTTATCAATATTTTCTACTTTACATTTTTCCTTAAATGACAGTACGTCAGACTTATATACACACGAAGCACAACTGCATGACAAAATATACAGTTCAGGTTCTGTTACAGAGTATAGAAGGCAATTTTCCAGTTCCTCTCATTAATGATAGGGTTTCCGCTGACTCTCGGGATGAAGAAGGTTCCTTCAATTGGCAATGGTTCTAAGGGAACTGCTGAACGTGCACCACTTGTCCTTCAGCAGAAAAAGCTTCAAAGAATTCAGAAACACCTGGAAATTATGAGAGCAAACTTCCAACTAACTACAGTGAGGGCAAATGACCTTTTGTCTCCCCGCTGGGGAGCAGTTTAAGTTGAAAACTAGAGAGAACACATGTAAATTTTCTTCGTAGTAGCAATTTCTAGATAACGAAATTGAGATATATCCCACATTATAAATTTCAAATGCTGATGGCTAACACCAAATGATTTCTAAAAGATTTAGATCAACATCCTCACTGAAAAGACATTATCTGAGATGACTTCCATGCGGGCTGGGGTTCCATATTCCCCTTTAGAAAATGACTCAATACATTAAGTACACTTGAGTCCTTTTCTCCTATTCCTCCTTCCAACTCGTTACTCAGATTTGAGATGTCTTCCTTGCTTTTGTGTCTACCATCCGTTTTTATTTCAAGTCTGTTAAATCTTAAATTTCCTTCCAAAGAAAACAACCAAAATAAAACTGGCATTCCTAAAATTTTATTTTTGTTTTTAGGAACAACAGCAGTGTACCTTTCCTATACAGGATGGCCCTTTTCCCACCTATGAAACAATTCCTAATATTGTTCCTAACATTTCTGCTTTAGAATAACTAGTTACGTGTAGAAAGAAAATTTGGTTTTGGGTATGCCTTTGCCTTCAATACCTTCTTTAGCACCTAATCGTGACAGCTTTAAAAAGGACGTCTCCCAAGTTGTAGAATGTCCCCAATGACATTTTAAGTATCCATCCTTTTAAAACTCAACATGTCATCTCTCTCCTCCCACAGCTAGATTCCCTCCTTCACAAAACCAGTCACTGTGTTAACTTTCCTCTAACACAAAGCCCATACCCTAAATATCTTAGGTGCTTAAGTGGCTGTCACACCATTCTGTATATGGCAAACTGTCCTCTGGCTACTCCAAGAATGTAAGTGATTATATAAGTGCATCCCCAAAGCACATCATTTCCCCTTTTTCAGAATACAATTAATTGCTGGCAAAATCCCAGAATTCAATACTTTTCACTCAAGGAAAAATAGTGCTTGGTGGGGGAAGAAGCGTTAGGTCTGTAAGAATGACTTTCTTTTTTTAATAAGGTATGGTAAAAATCTGGCAGTTTAATTCCTTATCCCCTTGCAGATGTAATAAGAAGCCCTTTACAAATATCACAATAACGCAACTTCGAAAAGGCAAAAAAAAAAAAAAAAACGAGGAAACCTATTTGAAGCCATTTCTCGAGGTAAAGTACAAAGATGCATTTTTAACTCCAAACCATCTAAACAACTCAAGAAATCTGTCAAATTTCCCTCCTGACTAGGTCAAGATAAATGTACCCCATTCCAGCAATCCAGCTGCTAATACTGCTGTCCAATACCCCTTCCATAAATAGCTCGGTCTGGGTTTACACCGGCAGGCATTTTGTAATTTAAAAATTCGTTACCCGGAGAAACGTCCTGATTAACTCGGCAACTGGGAGCCCGTCTACCCTTTCTTCAACTCCGCAGCCCACTCTCCCCTCGGTCATCCAAGCATTTTCCACTTAAGAAAAAAAGCCCCCCCTTCCCTTGACTAGAAGAGGGGGGAAAAATAAACGGTTCGGTCGGGGGGGGGCGCTGCGATACAGGGGGAGGGGCCGGACTAGTAGCGCCTCCTCGTGTGGCTGCGCCAGCGCCTGACCCCCGCGGGGAGCCGCGCTCACCCGCCCGACCAGCAAGCCGGCCATCGCCTCCCCCAACCCCCCACAACCAACAAATCCACCGCCGCCCCCCCTACCGCGCGCGCGCCCTCCCTGACTCCTGCGCAGCCGCCACCGGGAAAAGGCGGGGGGAGGGGGGAAATAGGCCTTGCGCGAGGCCTACTAGGCCGCGCCAGAGCCACGGCCTCGCGTGAATGACCGGCCAGGCACAGTGAGGTGGTAAGCGCTCACGCGGGACTACGCGAGACCGGGGCTCGTGACTAGGACCCGAGCCGGCTAAGAAAGACGAAAGTGGAAATGGTAGCCATAGTTGGGGGCGCAGGGGAAATTTTTAGGCTTACCTGCAGGCGCGAGGCGACTGAGGGGAAAAGGGGAGCGGGCGGGAAGGGGAAGGGCGGGAGGCCGGGGGCGGAACAATAGGGGCGGGCGGGAAGGCGAGGGGGGCCCCGCGGGCGGGCGGAGGAGGAAGGGGGGGGTGGAGGAGGAGGAGGAGGAAGGGGGAAAGAGACCCCGGGGCGGGTGGAGGGCGGCGGAGGGCGGGCGGGCGGGCGGAGGGCGGGCGGGCGGGAGAGGGCGCAGGCTGCGGCTGCTCCGGCTGCTGCCTCTGCTGGTCTGGGAGGGGGACGGGGCGGAGCGGCCTGCTTTCAACCCCGCGCACCCTTCGACCCCGGAAGCGCTAACCGCCCCGGGGGCCGGCGAGGCGATTGCGTCGTCCAAACCTTCCCCACGCAATGCAGACGGCCTCCCAAAAGCCTAGAGTGGCTCCTTGGACAGCGTAAGCACCAGCGAGACAACGGCTGCTAGCAAGCGGCGAACTGCGATAGAGAGGAAGCGTGGGGGCGGGAAGGAAACCAGTGGCCCCTAGTGGACTGACTGGAAAGTTCAGGCGTTAGTGCGGAGACGGAGCAGTCGCCATGGATCAAGAAGTGGAGAGTAGAGAAAAGGATGGGTGGAAAGAGAATAAGAAAGGATGAAGAAATCCTAGTAATCTACAGGAATACTCAAAAAAGAAAAGGAAAGAAAACTAACTTTCCACGTTTGAGGTGACCCTTGTATCAACGCCTTACTCTTAAAAGGAAAGAATTAAGCATTTAACTTTCCTTTTAGGAAGAACTGTGTGTAGTTTATCTGTAACTGATAAGGGAAAGCTCTTTTTTAAAGAGTTCCATGAATAAATGTAGAAGGAATGAAAGAAATAGAAGGAATGGGAGTTGAAAAGTCACCATTCTGCAACCCAGAATGAAATAATTGATTCAGGCAAGTGTATCAATCATTAAAATTTTGAGAAAGGTTGTTAGGGAACAGGATATTATCATGACACCAAGTATCACCACACAAATTTGCAAATATTTTTCTTTTTTTTTTTTTAAGTAACTTCAAATGGGCCAGGGGTAGTGGTTGGGAGGCTGAGGCAGGCAGATCGCTTGAGCTCAGGAGTTTAAGATACCATCTCTACTAAAAATACAAAAATTCGCTGCTGTGGTGGCACACACCTGTGGTCCTAGCTATTTGGGAGGCTGAGGTGGAAGGATTACTTAAGCCCTGCTGTTCTCGGCTACAGTGAGCCATGATGATGGCCACTGCACTGCAGCCTGTCTCAAAAATAACATTTTTTTTTTTTTTTTTTTTGAGACGGAGTTTCGCTCTTGTTGCCCAGGCTGGAGTCCAATGGCATAATCATGGCTCACTGCAACCTCTACCTCCTGGGTTCAAGCGATTCTCCTGCCTCAGCCTACCCAGTAGCAAAAATAACAAATTTTTTAAAAGCAACTTCAAATGGAGAGATCTAGCAGTTACCACCTTACCCAAGTACATAAATGATCAAACTGCATCACTCATAGTAGGACAACTTTGACACCGTGTGGTCCTTGGAAAAATGCAACAAGAAGTACACCACATCATCTATTAAATATTCTTGCCAAAAGTGCTTAATCTTAATCTAATCAAGCCATTAGATCTGATTTGCAATTTATAGGAAATTTGATACAACGCAAGGAGATATTTTGCAAATCCAGAACATTCCACAAGACAGCTAGCCAGTCTTGTCAAAAAAGCAATAGAATACAAAAAAAGAAAAAAATTGGCCTGGTGCGGTGACTCACACCTGTAATCCTAGCAATTTGGGAGGCCGAGGCACATGGATCACTTGAGGTCAGGAGTTCAAGACCAGCCCGACCAACATCTCTACTAAAAATGCAAAATTGGCCAGGTGTGGTGGCGCATGCCTGTAATCCCAGCTACTCTGGAAGCTGAGGCAGAAAAATCACTTGAACCCAGGAGGCGGAGTTTATGGTAAGCAAAGATGGTGCCATTGCACTCCAGCCTGGGCAACAAGAGCGAAACCCCGTCTCAAAAAAAAAAGATTTAGTTGAACATGGTAGTATGCATCTGTATAGTCCCAGCTACTCAAGAGGCTAAGGTGAGAGGATCACTTGAGTCCAGGAATTCAAGGCTGCAGTGTGTTAAGATGGCACCACTGTACTCTAGTCTGGGTGACAGAGCAAGACCTATCTCTTAATTAGTAAATAAATGAAACAAAAGCAGGAATTTAAAAATGTTTAAGGCAATAACAACCAAATATAATATGTAGCTCTTGCTTGGATCCTGGGTTTTTTTCTTTTTTTTTTTTTTTTTGAGACGGAGTCTCGCTTTGTTGCCCAGGCTGGAGTACAGTGGCACCGTCTCAGCTCACTGCTACCTCCGCCTTCCGAGTTCAAGTGATTCTCCTGCCTCAGCCTCCTGAGTAGCTGGGATTACAGGCACCTGCCACCAAGCCCGGCTAATTTTTTGTATTTTTAGTAGAGACGGGGTTTCACCATGTTGGCCAGGTTGGTCTCAAACTCCTGACCTCGTGATCCGCCTGCCTCAGCCTCCCAAAGTGCTGGGATTACAGGCGTGAGCCACTGCGCCCCGCCTGGATCCTGGTTTAAAAAAAAAAAAAAAGTTGCTGCATAAGACATTTAAGGAACAAGTGAGAAAATTCAAACATTAGTTGGGAGCAGTGGCTCACGCCTATAATCCCAGCACTTTGGGAGGCCGAGGCAGGGGGATCACAAGGTCAGGAGATCAAGACCATCCTGGCCAACATGGTGAAACCCTGTCTCTACTAAAAATACAAAAATTAGCCGGGCATGGTGACATGCGCCTGTAGTCTCAGCTACTCAGGAGGCTGAGGCGGGAGAATGGCTTGAACCTGGGAGGCGGAGGTTGCAGTGAGCCGAGATCCAGCCATTGCACTCCAGCCTGGTGACAGAGTGAGACTCCGTCTCAAAAAAAGAAAAGAAAATTCAAACATTATCTGAATGATAATATTAGGAAGTATTTTTAATTTTCTTTTTTTTTTTTTTTTTTTTTTTTGAGATGGAGTCTGGCTCTGTCGCCCAGGCTGGAGTGCAGTGGCCGGATCTCAGCTCACTGCAAGCTCCACCTCCCAGGTTCACGCCATTCTCCCGCCTCAGCCTCCTGAGTAGCTGGGACTACAGGCGCCCGCCACCTCGCCCGGCTAGTTTTTTGTATTTTTTTAGTAGAGATGGGGTTTCTCCGTGTTAGCCAGGATGGTCTCGATCTCCTGACCTCGTGATCCACCTGTCTCAGCCTCCCAAAGTGCTGGGATTACAGGCTTGAGCCACCGCGCCCGGCCGTATTTTTAATTTTCTTAAGTGTAATAATGGAACCATGGTTATGTAAAGAAATGGTTTTTAGGATGTACATGATGAAATATTTAAGGGTAGCCACACGCGGTGGCTCACACCTGTAATCCCAGCACGTTGGAGGCCGAGGCAGGTGGATCACAAGGTCAAGAGACGGAGATCATCCTGGCCAACATGGTGAAACCCCATCTCTACTAAAAATACAAAATTTAGCTGGGAGGGGCAGTAGGCGCCTGTAATCCCAGCTACTTGGGAGGCTGAGACAGGAGAACCGCTTGAACCTGGGAAGGCGGAGATTGCAGTGAGCTGAGATCGCGCCGCTGCACTCCAGCCTGGCAACAGAGTGAAACTCCATCTCAAAAATAAATAAATAAATAAATAAGTAAATAAATAAATAAATAAGGTAGCCAGGTATGGTGGTGCACACCTGTGGTCTCAGCTACTAGGTATGCTGAGGTGGGAGGATCGCTTGAACCTGAGAGGTTGAGGCTGCAGTGAGCTGTGAGTGTGCTACTACACTCCAGCCTGGGCAACAAAGCAAGACCTTATCTCAAAGAAATAATCAAAAAAAAACCAGAGGGATGGCCGAGCATGGTGGCGCATGCCTGTAATCCCACACTTTTGGGGGCAGAGCAAGGTAGGAGGATCACTTGAAGCCAGGAGTTCGAGAGCAGCCTAGGCAACATAGTGAGACCCTGTCCCTACAAAAAATTAAAAATTAGCCATGTATGGTGGTACACACCTGTAGTACTAACTACTTGGGAGGCTGAGGTGGGAGGAGCACTTGAACCAGGGAGATCAAGGCTGCAGTGAGCCTTGAACATGCCACTGCACGCTAGCCCCTTGACTCTCAGTCACATTTTATTGGGCAGCCCCAAACTGATGGAGGCAGCTTCCTTTACCTTCTTCCTAAAGAGAGGTAGCTTCCTGAAGTGGAAAATTAGGCTTGAGGACTAAAATGCCTTTCCTCCCACCCCCTAAATTGTATTAGGAACAATGTGAAATAGAAAGAAAGGGCCAGGCATGGTGGCTCACTCCTGTAATCTCAACACTTTGGGAGACCGAGGCAGATGGATTGAGGTCAGGAGTTCAAGACCAGCTTGGCCAACCTGGCGAAACGCCGTCTCTACTAAAAATACAAAAATTAGCTGGGCATGGTGGCACTTGCCTGTAGTCCCAGATACTCGGGAGGCTGAGGCAGGAGAATCACTTGAACCCTGGAGGCAGAGGTTTCAGTAAGCCGAGATCGTGCCCCACTGCACTCCAGCCTGGGCGACAGAGTGAGACTCCGTCTCAAAAAAAAAAAAAAAAGAAAGAAAGAAAAAGATGGCCAGGCAAGGTGGCTCATTCCTGTAATCCCAGCACTTCTGGAGGCCAAGGCAGGAGGGCTGCTTGAGGCCAGCCAAGAGTTGTAGAGACCAGCAAGAATCTCATCTCTACAAAAAAATGTTTAAACATTAGCCAGCGCCACCTCTAGCAACTCAGGAGGCTGAGGCAAGAGCATAGCTTGAGCAGCCTACTGCACTCCAGCCTCGGCAACAGTGAGACCCTGTCTCTGAAAAAAGAAGAAAAAGAAGTCTGTCATCTGGGCCGGGCGCGGTGGCTCAAGCCTGTAATCCCAGCACTTTGGGAGGCCGAGGCAGGTGGATCACGAGGTCAGGAGATCAAGACCATCCTGGCTAACATGGTGAAATCTCTACTAAAAATACAAAAAATCTCTACTAAAAATACAAAAAACTAGCCGGGCGTGGTGGCGGGCGCCTGTAGTCCCAGCTACTCGGAGGCTGAGGCAGGAGGCTGAGGCAGGAGAATGGCGTGAACCTGGGAGGCGGAGCTTGCAGTGAGCCGAGATCGCGCCACTGCACTCCAGCCTGGGTGACACAGCGCGAGACTCCGTCTCAAAAAAAAAAAAAAAAAAAAAAAGAAGTCTGTCATCTGGTAAGGGGCAGACCAAGTGATGAAAGGGAAGAAATGAAGTAGGAAAATGTTAAGACACCCAGGAAAAACTAAACTAAGGAGTGT